TCGAAAGGAATCATAAAAGTGCGCATATTACTAACATAACAATCCATTGACACTGAATCCTAAAAGTGCGCAGGATACTAACTTAAAAATCCAAGAAAAGAGAATCCTAAAAGAGCGTGAGATACTAACGCAACAATCTAATCGAAGAGAATCCTAAAAGAGCGCGAGATAACAACGTGACAATTTGAAAAAAGTCTGCGATATACTAACGAAAAAATCCAATGAAAGAGAATCCTAAAAGAGTGCGAGATACTGACGTAACAATCCAATGAAGTGCACGAGATACCAGCGTAACAATCCAACAAAAGAGAATCCTAAAAGTCCACGAGATACTAACTTAACAATCAATGAAGGAAAATCCCAAGAGTACGAAAGATGCTAACGTAACCATCCATTGAAAGAGAATCCTAAAAGTGCGCGAGATACTAACGCAAGAATCTAATCAAAGAGAATCCTAAAAGTGCGCAAGATGCTAATGTAACAATCCACTGAAAGAGAAACTTAAAAGAGCGCAGGATACTAACGTAACAATCCAATCAAAAGGAATCCTAAAAGTGCGTACGATACTAACATAACAATCCATTGAAACAGAATCCTAAAAGTGCGCAGGATACTAACATAACAATCCAATGGAAGAGAATCCTAAAAGTGCGCAAGATAACAACGTGACAATCTGATAAAAGAGAATCCTAAAAGTACGCGATATACTAACGAAAAATCTAATGAAAGAGAATCCTAAAAGAGTACGAGATACTGACGTAACAATCCAATGAAAAAGAATCCTAAAAGTGCACGAGATACTAACGTCACAATCCAATAAAAGAGAATCCTGAAAGTGTGCGAGATACTAACGCAACAATTCAATGAAAGAGAATCCTAAAAGTGCGTGAGATACTAACGTAACAATCCAATCAAAGAGAATCCTAAAAGTGCACGAGATACTAACGTAACAATCTAATGAAAGAGAATCCTAAAAGTGCGCGAGATACTAGCGTAACAATCCAATGAAAGAGAATCCTAAAAGTGCGCGAGGTACTAACGTAACAATCTAATGAAAGAGAATCCTTAAAGGGCGCAAGATACTAACCTAACAATCTAATGAAAGAAAATCTTAAAAGTGTGCGGGATACTAACGTAACAATCAACTGAAAGTTAATCCTAAAAGTGTGCAAGATACTGATGTAACAATCCACTGAAAGAGAATCCTAAAAATGCGCAAGATACTAACGTAACAATCCAATGAAAGAGAATCCTAAAAGTACGCAAGATACTAACGTAACAATCCGATGAAAGAGAATCCTAAAAGTGCGCGAGATACTAACGTTAAAATTCACCGAAAGAGAATCCTAAAAGTGCTCAAGATACTAACGTAACAATCCGATGAAAGAGAATCCTAAAAGTGCGCGAGATACTAACGTTAAAATTCACCGAAAGAGAATCCTAAAAGTGCTCCAGATACTAACGTAACAATCCAATGAAAGAGAATCCTAAAAGTGCACAAGATACTAACGTAACGATACAATGAAAAACAATCCAATGAAAAACAATCTTAAAAGTGCGTGAGATACTAACGTAAAAATCTACTGAAAGAGAATCCTAAAAGTGCCCAAGATACTAACGTAACAATCCACTGAAAGAGAATTCTAAAAGGGCGCGAGTTACTAACGTAACAACCCAATGAAGAGAATTCTTAAAAGGCGCGAGATACTAACATTACAATCCACTGAAAGAGAATCCTAAAAGTCTGCGAGATACTAATGTAACAATCCACTGAAAGAGAATCCTAAAAGTGCACGAGATACTAATGTAACGATCCACTGAGGGAGAATCCTAAAAGTGCACGAGATGCTAACGTAACAATTCGCAGAAAGAGAATCCTAAAAGTGCACGAGATACTAATGTAACGATCCACTGAAGGAGAATCCTAAAAGTGGACGAGATGCTAACGTAACAATTCGCAGAAAGCGAATCCTAAAAGTGCACGAGATACTAACGTAACAGTCCAGTGAAAGAGAATCCTAAAAGTGCGCGAGATACTAATGTAACAATCCACTGAAAGATAATCCTAAAAGTTAAGTCAATCGAAATCATTCAACGTAACAATTCCATTTCGTCAGAGAAGACCGAACAGATCTGAAACAATTTATTTTTCAAATTTAAAGCAGAAAAAACTGGATATTAATTGTAATTCATGGAACTATATTTTCTTAATAAAATTCAACCGTCATAGGCATCAACATTTCACCGTCAATCGTCAAAAGCTTTAAAAAATTAACCGTCAACCCTCAACCGTAAAAGAGACTTACACCTTGTAATATGTCTGCACTTTGCCAGTTTTTAACCTCTTAAAAAGATCTAGGAAAAGTTGGATGATCGATCAATTCTTCTCTAATTTTGGTAACTTCGTAAGCCAGGTGAATAGCGATAATATGCGAAATAATGACAAGGTATTTCTTTGACAATGGTGAAATAGATAAATTGGTGAAACAGATAAAAAGTATTTATGGTAGAATTTATTCTTTAAATGAACACTGCTGGCAACAACTGAAAGCAACCTCAATTAAGAAGAGTTCCAAGAAATCCGACAGTGAATAAATTTATACATTTCTTAGTTAGAACTTTTTCTTCATTGACTGGGTTTCGAATTGGAAACATTCGCTAACTCCATGTTTTAACATGTTTTAAAAAACGTTTAACCCAGGAAAATAGGCCTCGATAACTAATTTTTTTTTATCAAAAAAAGTCAGTTATCTAACCTTGGTAGAAGTTGTGCATTTTTTTTCCTTGCTTGACTTTCTTGATTTCGAGTCGTTCTCATTTTTTTCCTTGATAATACCCTATGGGGAAAAAAGATACAATTATATTATTAATCATACAATTTCCTCAGATGTGATTGGGGCACTAGCAACAACCATTTATCCTAAAAAAAAAAATGACTGGAGAATTTCCAAAATTATCTCTACCGGAGATTTTTCTCCTAAAAGTATTTTTTTTTCGGAAATTGTAACGGTTATGATTAATTGGTAACAGGACTTCGTGTCGTCTAATTCTGTCTGTGATCATACTCGTGATTGACAAATCGGACTCCCGTTTCGCGGTCGTCCGAGCATGATTGCAGACAGAATTGGACTCAACCATTACCATTATGAATAAGAATGTATCCGAGTGCTTTTCATTCAAAAAAATTAAGGTCAACGTCTGGATCGAAAAAACTCATTCATCATAGTTTCCTCTCCTCGCGGTCGGAGAGTGAGGTGAAAACAAATAGGTTTGAAACACACTTCTGGCCAACCAAGAAAAAAATATAAACTCGATATTCTCTCAGTTCAACACAGTATAATCATAAAAGCTAATTGAAATTATGTACAGAAGCGGAAAGAGATATAAGTAATTAAATAGGTGGTAAATACACTTGCAATTTACTACGAACTTCTCGTGTTGCAGTTCAAGAGGAACTGTCATGGCGACTACCTCTGAAGATTCCTCCTACATTGTGCAATGTGCATTACGCTCTTCCTTCTTACCCTTCACTATGTAAACTAATTTTATGGCCACAAGGACCATAACGAGAAAGATGAACACTGCACATGTATCCAAATGAATCTTTCCACATGTTGTTTACCTGTAAAGGCGTCGTGACAAAGTAAAGAGCTTGATTCATCGAAATGGTATCTGAGCCACTTGATCCTGCATAACGAATATTTGCCGAACTAGACAGAACATTGAATATCAAAGGTTATCAGGTAGATATAACGTGTTTCTTGATTCCGTAGAAGCTGAGAGAGACGTTTGAATATCTTGTAGTTCGTAAGCTCTTTCCACGTGCAAGACTGAACGCAAACATGAATATTTATTTGGAAATTATTTGTAATTCAAATGAATTTTCCGACTTCAAAGGGTGGGTTTAAAATAATCGTCACCGAGTTCTTCGTCTTGTTTCGTTCAATTATAAAACGAACCGTTTAAGTTCGACAGAGAGCTGCAAATAGTATTGCAATTTTAGAAATATCAACTTGAACTTAAAACGTATTGTTTGAACAGCATATTCTAGTCATTACAGGAGCTAACAACCAAGATTAAATGTTTCTGGTGATTAACTGTCGGTCGACCTGAACGTTGCCAAAATATCGATGCTTTTTTCGTCACGAGCAATTTGACTTATTATGGTACTGCTGTATCTCGATCCACGTCAGTATCGAAGAAACACGTTACAGCCGAGGAGCTTTTTTATTCGGTCACCTGCCGACTGGATACAGAAGGGACGTAAACGATTGTAAAATATATAGGTATATAGATGCAACATCACAAGGCCTCACCAGGTATTCAAAGGAAATGAAAAGAACTTATTCGAGCTCGTCCATTTCTGTTTCCGGCCCCCTTCGTATTCATTAGTCTAGAAAGAGAGTGGGAAAGAAAGAATGGACCCCATTTTTCGATAATGTTTGTACGACTTGACACGACAGAAGCAATTTTCAAATATGCTGAGCTCCACATAGCCCAGACAAAAAAAAAATTCTCCCTGTCCCCCACCCCCACCCCCACCCTCTGATATCTGAATACAAGACCATAGAAATACTTTAAGGACAGAAGAAATCCTTTTGGGGGAGGAGGCGGACAACGCGTTTCATTTACGTGTAATAAATAAATAAATTAATTAATTAATTGCAACAGTATCGACTCGCATCTTATTTCTTAAAACCTGTTTATTGAACAGTTCCCACAACACAAGGATGTATTATCAAAACTCACATTTACAATGATTTATAGATTCGAACAGGTCAGTAAGAAACATTAACCAAACAACACAGACTCGAAATGCATATAGATCTTTAATAACAATAATGCTTTCCAGAACTATACTTACAACAATACAGCTTCACACACACACAACGAAAACAATAGAGACAAAACAAAAATGCACATTTATGGACAGAGTAACTGAGCTCGTAAAAAAGATCTTAGTATAAAAAGCGTTTCTTCGTTAGAGCGGAAAAAAACCTAGCTTGCTAAAAATAACGAAATTCGTGTCTCACACACACTAACAGTAGGTGCTCTGGTGCACAGGTTCTATTTGAAAATGCACGTACAAAGGTATCAATTGATGGTCGGTGACTTCGTGTTCGAGCACATATGCTCGTTCGGTAAGTCCCCCAATTTAGGTCATGCAAGGACATACCACAGAGCACTGTTAGCCTTATCAACCTAATAAGCGAGAACTGACCAACCAGACGAAATTGTCCCTAATTTTTGTGAAACATGACATTAATTAAGTTAAGAAAATCGACTACACAGTCGAACGATTTTGTTTTGTACAGGAGTTCTTTCTGTGGGAACCATCAGAGCGTGGATAACACGCGCGAGAGACTAGCCACACCATATAATGCACGCACGAGTCCTCGCTCGCTTGTGCTGGAATCACTCGCACATGCTTAAATACAGTGCCTATTTAGACTGGCTAGTTATGTCTTAAAGTAGGCACCACTGCACCTTATTTGGAGAGGTTTAGCAAGGCGTGTTTTGTAAATACCGCACGGCAAGAAATCGTACTAAGTGTACAAATTAATATGTCTTGACCACAGCTAATAGTGAAATGTTACGTGTGACAATCGTCACTTCAAACTACAATACGTAGACGTCAGGCAAGTTTGGCAACCCTAAAATAGAAATCATCCACGGCTTAAAGCGAGCCTAATACTAAGGTAATAAGCGAGACAAAAGTGTTTCCTTTCCTAAGCTACATTTGGTATCTGCAAGAATTTACATGACACAAGATTTTTTAAACCCTGTGTCAAACACCCCTTAAAAAAAAAGTTTTTAAACGAAAAAAAAAAAAGCGGATTTAATTTAAGCATCTGCGCCAACGTGGCTAATATATGATTACAAACACTGTCCATATCCATCTTTTAACCAAAGGTTTGCCTATCCCAAACACACACCTAGTACCCACTTCCGCTGCCGTAACTTCCATACTGCTGCTGTTGTTGCTGCTGCTGCTGATATCCCGCATAATAATTCTGGTAATTCTGGTAGGTCTGTTGCTGTGCCGTCTGACCGTACGTCTGCTGCTGTTGTTGTTGCTGCGGCTGCTGCTGAGCGTAGCCGGTCTGTTGGTATCCTGTGCTTGCTTGGTATCCCTGGTTGTAGTTGTAGTACTGGTTGTAGGCCTGGTTGGTGTTGTACTGTTGCTGTTGCTGAGGTGTGTACGAAGCTTGTGAAACTTGTTGCTGCTGGTTGTAATTTTGCTGGTTGTAATTCTGCTGGTAGCGAGGTCTCTGTTGTTGATTTGACTGTTGGTGTTGACGGTAGGACGACTGCTGCTGGCGGAACCCTCCACCGCCATAACCTCCGCCTCCATAACCTCCACCTTGTAAACAAAATAATAAACAATTAAATAAAAAAAAAAAAGCACAAAATGAATACTGAATCCTTCCACTCCCAAGACTGATTAAATTCTAATTTCTTCTTACAGCATCACAGCTGAATCAAACATTTAGGTCATGAGAATATCAGAAATGATAGCACACCACTTGCACTAGCCTTGTGTCCCTCCCACTTCCAGTGGTTACGAGTAAAATCCGTAAAGCAAGCGTACAAGACACAATAGGCATACTTGTATTGGCACATGAGCATGTATATATTTAACAAATAGATTCCAAGTTGCCATACGTCTGTTCAGTAATAGATCAAAGATGACGTCAAAATGTGGTAAGAACAAAAAAGTGGCAGACGAGGCGCAGCCGAGTGTCACTGATGTTCTTGCCACAGTTTGACGTCCTCTGTGATCTATTACTGAACAGACGCACGTCAAATTGGAATCTATTTGTTTTATATAATAAAGAATTAAAAAAAAAGTTTTAATTATCCATACGTCTGTCCTCCAATAGATCATAAGTGAGAACCAATCAGAATGCGTGCATAACTGAGCTTATTATATCAATATATATTGATACTCATAGACGTCATAAGTACATGTATAAAGCTAGCCAATGGTGGAATGGTCAATGCTAATTACAGTAAGAATTGGAACTGCAGCAAAAACAAATGCTCAAGCTGCATCAGTTGTCCCTCAACTGTGCTTGTTTGTTCATCGCTGCTCATGTCGTTTCATAAGTTCTTCACTCGCAATTAATTATCAACGTTTCCTTGCCAAGAAATAGTCACAGCAAATACATTGGGCGGATAAAACTTTCACGCATGCATTAAAAAAAAAAACCGCACAGTACCTCTTCCTCCACGATGATCCCTCCTGTCATGGTATCCTCCTCCGCCTCGTCCACCTCGGTGGTAGCCACCACCCCCTCCATGACCGTGATAAGAGCGACCTCCAAATCTCTGGTTATAACCTCCACCTCCGCCTCCACCTCCACGTCTGTAACTTCCGCGGTCATCAAAGCCTCTGTCCCTGTTGTATCCTCCACCATGTCGTGGTCTGTCTTCAAATCGTGACCGTTTGTAAGGTGGCTCTGATCCTGCACCTGAGCGGCTTCTGTAAGAGCGACCTTCTTTGATGTATTCATCAACGACACTTTTCGCCTTGCTTTCAGGCTGATCAGCATACACAACTTCATCAAAAAATTCGCCAACTTTTGGTAGAGTGAAACTCACTGTAAAGAAAAATAATAATAGATGAAAGTAAGTATCACATCGATTTTTTTAATTTTTAAATTAACTTGCCCTTTTTCACTGCTTCCGTGTCCACTAAAACCCCATCTTTCAGCCTACATCGTTCTCAGGACGTACCAGAAGCGTTTTAGATGGTTATCTTGATGGATGAAGAAATGGTGACCAAATGACTGAATTGTCGTTCTGGGTCTGAGTCCTGGCCCTGACACGGGAATAGATGTGGGTGCTAAGGAACTTTGCACACCCCCCTCCCCCTCTCCTTCTAGGAAAAAAAATGTGGCACAGGCATTCCATCCAAGGGTATTAAGAACACTTCTAGTCATTGTTGCTATGGAAAACAGGAAAGAGGATAAACATGATCATTAACATACTTTTCATGTCACTAACTGCATTTTCAGGCAGCTCAATGCCTTCCTTCTTTCTGTCTTCTGTCCTCTTTTTAAGATCTTCTTGGGTGGGAATGCAAACTATAGCTTTTCTGTTGAATCCTTCAAAAGGCCTCATCTTCTTCTTTTGGGCTGACAAGTACACATTGGTCTGGCGAACAAAACAAAAAAATACTAAAGGATGTGTAACAAATAATGCTGTCAAACAGGAAAGGAAGGGTGAATAAAGTGTGCAGCAGTGTGTGAATAACCCTTTACACCCTAACATCAGTATCCACATTCTCCATACTATTCACTATACATTGCCCAAGATGCTGACAAAGAGAATTTGTTTAACAATCAAGAACTGCTTTAGTTTGTGATCATTTCCTTTACTCTCATGACCTTAATGTTTGATTAAAATGTGATATTGTAAAAGGAAATTGGATGCTAATCACTCTTAGGGGTTAAAAGGTTAAGGAAGTCATCACAATGTAATTCATTATGGGATATGACAAGAATCACCATCAATTTGAGGGAAACAATCAATACCAGAAAATACCAGCTGATATAACACCAGCCTGGGGAGGTTCACTAACTACATGTAAGTAGCCTCTAACATTTTTGTAGTAAGAAAATAACCTTCTTGTGTGGAGTAATCTTACCTGGTCTAGAATATAATTCCTCTTCTTACTTGCTGCCAGCTCAAATAAACGGTGCAGACATTTTGCAGCCTTGTCCATCAACTTACTATACCCTCCCACATCTCTTTTCCTGGCCACACCCATAATCTGAAAACAAGTCAAAAGGTCAATTTCAAAACTTATCAAACTTCTTAAAGTTTTCTCTTCACATGGATGGCCGCTTAGATAAGATTTTGGTCTAAAACAACAACTTTTTCAAACATCTTTCAGCATCATGCAGAGCCACCTTATTGTACAGGGGTTTCCATAGCTTTTTCCATAAGTGGCTGTCAGTGGTGTGATAGGCAGCTGTGCCCAAAACGGGCTTTAAGGTGAACCCAAACACAAGAGCATGCTTGCAAGCAGATGCCAAAAACTGGCTTTTAATGAGCCCCCACACCCCCTTAAACAAAAACAACCACAAAAACAACAACAACAACAAAAACATGATTCAAGTACATGTAGGAACAAGCATCAAAAGGATGGACACTAAAAGAGATTACAAGTGATGACCACATATGCACAAGATACAGTGTCACAAATAGGCTCTTTTAAACGAGAGAACTTGAAAAAAAAGGAAAGAAATACAAAAAAAAACTGCTAAGTGTAAACCACAAGATACTAAATTATACACTAAGTTTACTTCCAAGCTGACCAACAGGTTAATACAACAGAACCCTGCTACCTCAAACGCAATGAACTTCAACCCCTGGGTACCTCAAGCTTGATCCAGTTTCCCTCGACCCTGGTTTTTCAGCTGTTTGCCATCAACTAACCCAAACCCTTGCTAATTCAAACCTTTTTTTGTTTCCCTGGGCAGTTTGAGTTAGCATGGTTCTGTATCAACAACTGCATTTACCTTCATTTTCTCCATGATGGAGTTTGTGCCCAGCACATTGTATTTCTTGTCTGGGTTTTCACTCACTTGCTGGTTCACCCATGTTGTCTTTCCTGACCCAGGTAACCCTACCATCATTATCACCTACAAGTCAAGAACAATGTGTCAAGACAAAGTTTTATTTAAGAAGGGCAGTAACAAGGGAATATTCTCAGATGTAGGTCATTGAAAGGTGCAGAAAAATCCATTGTGTACATTCAAATGTATAAGTGGAGGCTCATCACTGAGAAGTTCTGTCACAGTTATCAAAGACTTGCCTCGCACTCCTTTTTAGTTGTGGGTCCTCTTGTGCCATGAACCAAGAGCTCTTCACCAACTGACTGCATGAAGGTGTAACCCTCCTTGGCAGGGAACCAAGGCTCCTCCTTAAAAAAACAAAGGTGATCCATAATTAGATTCTCCCTATAATATCCATACAATATCCAGCAAACAGGTCGTGAGAATACTCAAACTTTTAACTGAGATCCAAGTTGACACCTGAATTAACATTCCAGTGATCAAAGATTTAAAAGATGACGACCTTTACCTGAGATCCAAAGTTGACACTGAACTCAGCATTTTTAATCAGGACATGAGGGTAGAGGGCCTTGTCTTCCAGACCATCAGTCAGTTCATAAGCTTCTCCAAGGTCTTCACCATTCTTGCTGAAGGAAATTGTCTTAGGTTCACTCTCCAAGTCCTAAAACAAACAAATGAACAAATAAATAAATTACTAAATAAAGAAATAAGTAAGTAAATAGCTCTAAAAATTTTCAGCTTGTTGGTTTATCACCAATTTTTCTAACTGACTTCTAAGACTTGTTTGAAAGACAAATGTTGCATGTTGATTAATAGTAGCATAAATCCACAGCATTCTGTGACGAATGCCCAAATCTGATTAGCAAGGTTACTAGTCCTAATCTGTGGAAAATAGCAAGTAGCCTTACACTGCAAGTGTACATTTGTTAACCCTTTACACCCTAAGATCAGTTTGCAATTTCTCCATACTGTTCTCTATTATGCTTCCTTAGGTGCTGACAAGGAGAATTTGTATAACAATCGAGAGCTTCTTTAGTTTACTATTTCCTTTATTCTTGTGACCTTAGTTTTTGATTCAGGGGTGATACTGTTGGGAGAAATTAGAAGCTTATTTCTCTTAGGAGAAGAAGGTTAAAAATATAATAATAAAAAAGAAAGAACCAGTCTTGTCATGTAGTTTTGAACCATATCTTCATGTAAGCATAATAGCCAATGAGTGTTTTGCTTTCATCAACTATAACATGGTGGACACCTTGAGCCCATTATCTGATTGCTACTTCAATCCTGGTTGGGTCTTGCAAGCATTAGTAGACTGTCAACCAACATTGTTGGGAATCCTTGCTAAAGCACAAAATGATATTCTAACACTTGTGTGTATTGACCAGTCTAACTCACCAAATAACACCCAATCACATCCTCAGCACCAAATGTTTGCCCATATTCTGCAAACTCTGAGTCTGTGGCCTTCTTGCCAGATGAGTCATACCCATATGAAAGCTTGTCTTCTCCTACAGGAAAAAAAAAATTCCAGGAATAAAGTTACAGTTTAATGTCTCTTCACCCTTGCAAAAGAGCTAAAAGGCTGTGAAATATGAGTTGACAAAAATTGGCACGGGATGTGACCAAAAAAATTATCTCTCAACAAAATTAATCACCTTACTTAAATCTTGTCCATGATAACAACAGTATCAGGAAATACAAATATTTAAGTGCTCACAGTTCAAGCCTGGCCACAAGATGTTAATAAGGCAAGACTCTTTAAAATCATTCACCCTTTAAACCCCGCAAGTGACCAGCATCCAGTTTCTCCTCAAAGTAATACTGCTAAATGACTCACTTAGATCGTGAGAAAAAGGAAATGATCCCAAACCTAAGGAACCTTGATTCTTACACAAATTCTCCCAGTCTGTCCCAAAAGAAATGTAGAGAGAACAGTATGGAGAAGATGGATACTGATGTTAAGGTGGGTACACTTAGGTCAATAGTTATTCATTTAAAATTCACTCTCTTTCTAGAATAAATTGCCAAACCCAAGAAAAAACTCACAATTACCCCACCAGCTCCTCTTACTTATTTGAAATTCAAAAAAAGCGTTACCTAGCTGAAGATTGGCAGAATCAGTTGACCAGCCTACTCTGACCACATTCTTGGGATCTTCAGCATCAGGGAGTTCGACAGAAGCAATCGCTGTTACCTAGGAAAACAGAAATAACACTTGTATGACAATGGTGTATATATAGTGTAGACACCTTTAATTTCAAGGTCTCCTACTGCTGCACCAAAGCCATTTCCCAAATACTGCCACACTACATATTGTCACCACAAGACCCTCACTAATACCTTCAAAGGGATACTTATTCACAGCTAATCCCTTTAAACATTTCCTTCAATTTGCCTGACAGTTCATCATTGACCATTCATACTCTTACTTTTGGGGAAATAGTTTTGAAGTGAAGTGCCTTTCCCACTGACATAACTTATATGCTAACCTTTGCCTAGACAGGTTGTCAATTTAGCTCCTGAAGCTGCAAGTTTGGTTGCCAAATTTGTTAAAGTCACTATAGTGACCAAAACAGGCACTTCTTAAATCATTATTCCACAAGTACACTTTTAATTTTTAACGAACACTACTTCTGTTGAATTGTCTTGTCCTAAAAACCCCTGAATCCCTATATCATCTAGTAATTCCCAGTCTACAGTTCACCCACTCTTCCCCATGGACTTTTTGTCCACGCCTTTACCTTGCATTCAAAGCAAACTTTGCCTGTAGTGACACCCCAGGTTGCTCTTGCACCAGCTAGCAGATATGAAAACCCTTCATCCTCCAATGGTTTTCCACTCAAGCCATCTGCTGCAATTTTCAGATGCAGGTCGCTGTTGTCTAAAACACAACCAAATGCAAAAAAAAATTGAGAACAGAATTCTCATAAGTGTGCATGACTCTGCTGGCCATGCACTCCTACAAGCTAAAACAGATACCCATACCTTTTCCGATATTAGTTCTCAGTTGTGAATTGGTTTTGACATGCTCCTTGAAAATCTTATTCTTACAAGTGTATGTAACACATTGTACTCGCCATTTTGGCCCATCCACTTACATTTGTCCAAGACGACTAAAGTGTCGTCAAGTGGAATCTCTTCATCCTCAGGTTCAACTCTACTGGAGGGAAAAATGAAAATGTAGAAAACTCAGATGTGAGGTCAGAGCGATCTGCATCTAGCAGACGCCTTTGCCGATGGTTGATCTTTCTCCTGGCGGTGACATAAGCACAGATAGTCATTCCAGAGATCAGTTTGTAATCAAGCTGATTCCAATAGAATTGTTGACGTTTCCAGAGAAAGGAAACACCATTTCAGCTGCACTGTCACCGTTGACTCTCCAGCTTTAATTCCTTACCTGGCCTCGGTGGAAATCTCTACATCATCATCAGCATCCTTCTCTGTATCTCCCTTCTCTCCTGAAAAAGATTACAAAGTTTACCTTATGAATAAGGGACTTATAACTATGCTATATTACTATTAGCTGCTACATCTACTGCTGATTCGAGTAGTAACATAAGGTTGAACTATCCAGTGTTAGAGTCCTCTTAAATCCATACAACTCCCATCAACCATTCATTGTCGGATGGAGCTCTCCACAAGACTATATCTCCATGGATTAACACATGTTAACTACAGTATCTAATTTAGCCAGGTTTTATCATCAATTCCAATGCTTTGTGCGTGGTACACCATGTTCCTCTTCTGTCTGTTCTCCACACAATGAATCCATCATTCCCTCACAAATAGAAGATGCAACCTTGATTCATATTTGATGGTCGAAAAGTAACTGATAGTAAATGCATCCAGGTCATTAAGACCTTGCATCTTCAGAATCTATCCTCAGATGCAGTTACTCACTGCAGAGCTTCTCCTTAAAAAACTACACAACAAAGTGTAAATTGGTCTTCATTTGACACTCTGCATTTCTCAAAACCAAACAGATAATTGCACTTGTTGTACAGCCTTAAGCTGTAATTGCAGTTTTTCTGTTTTCTCATCAATGGGAAAGGTCTTGTTTCCCAATGCTTAAAAATGACACGTAGAGCGAAACTGAAGTGAGTCACCGCTACCTTAAACACCAAGAGACTTGCCAGACAACATTCCCACATGTCAAGTGAGTGGCTCTGACGTGGGGTGGTCCCTAGAGTTTGAACAAAGTTGGCGCAACACAAGTAAACACAAAGCACAAGGCATACATGAAGCTGCACCTGGAATGTTTAACCCTGATGTGTTACAGCATTCTTAATGAATTACAAATAACTGAAAGTGACATGTTGAGTCCCACTGGTTGGTACATTGGCATTTTGAGGGTATTTAGTGGGAAGTTCATATTTTTCTAACAGCTTTGAAGACATACCAAAAATAAAAAAAAAATTAGTGATTAGAGAGTCATGCAAAACATAATCTTGGTAATCAAAAGCAGACTGTACTAAGGGGGCTATGAGAACTTCCACCTGGATTTAAAAATTTTAGACTCTGTTTATTAATTCTTAAATAACATATATGCAAAAATACAACTAGCCATAGTAACATTAAAATAGGCATCATCTTGCATATCTTGAACTTTACCCAGATACATCTCCCACTATGGAATTAGGCTTATATGTCTTTCTAAACCAATTCCTTCATGCTCATGGTACCAAACTTCTAACTGCTACGATTCATCTTTAACCGTTTCATTCCCAAGAAAAAAATACAATTTCTCAGTACTTTCTGTCATCAATTTCTACTAATTTGTGCTTTGAGTGCTTATTCAAACAATATCCCCTCAACAATATCTTTTTTCCTTTTCATCATCCTTCAGAGTTGGAAAATGTATTGAAACCAAAAAGACAAATTCCTCTTTGGTCACTCTTGGAAGTGAAAGATTTAAATAAAAAATTTCAATTTTACAATACAGTTTATAACATATTTTAAGTTGAAACTTTTAAGTTGCTCATTACAATTTAGAGAACATAATTTTCTGTTTGACACCACTAAACCAGAGGCCTTAACGTTTTTTTTTTAATCAGAATACTACTGTTTTCATTCAGCATATTACAAGGTATTTCCCTTATCAGCTCCTGTATTGATCAAATCTACAAATAATTTAAAGTTGTTGTATAACTGTAGAATAACAGATACAAAACAAAGGCTTGTTAACACATCATGCAACCTAAATCTGGACATTTAATCTTTCATAAACAGTATGTGCATACAGGATTGTCTCTTATGTTTGAACCAACTGTTACATTGGAGATATCACCCAATATCACCAGCACCGGTGTGATATGAGGCGAAGTATAAGGTGGCCACAATCAACATCTTTTAACATCGAGTGAGCCCAGCTGTAACAGATGTTACAGGTTATGACCCTTAATAACAGACCTGTGCATTTATGTTGTATTAGCGATTGCATTGGTATATTGTTGTTAGCATGGTAGAAAATAGTTATGCAACACTTTCTCATTGCTAACCATTGGTATAAATGATTGCCTGAGAGCTTTTGTTTATTTCAATAAAATGAAATTGAAAAGAAAATTTGTTCAAAAGTATAATGTACAAGAACTGTGCTTGGGATTATGTAGGTCCTCAGAATGACTACTAACACTCATGGAAAGGTAGAAAGGTTGGTATCTTTCTCCAATCTGACACTTATCTAAACAACAAAGGTTTTTGCGACTATGCTTAACATATCAAGGGACTAAATACCACATGAAAAATTTATTTCAGTACATTGCAATTATAAAATGATTCAAATCTAGATTCAGCAGCCTTTTGAGCTCAACCTTATAACCCTTAAGACTGACCACCATCTAATTTTTCCTCACAAAGTCATGAAATAAAGGAAATGGTCAAAAGCTACAAAAACTCTTGATTATTAAATAAGTTCTCCTTGTCAGTTCCTTAGGAAATGAATGGAGAACAGTTTGGAGAATATGCATACTGATGTTACGGTGCAAAGGGTTACCTTAATGATAAGCAAAAACTTCACAACTAACAATTGTACCTCTGCCATTACTTTCCAAAGGGACTCAACAACATTTAATTTTATTTCAAGCTCTGCTTTTCTATACTGCTTGTTTATGAAGGGCCTGATTGCATTGAATTATTGAGAGGTACCATTTTCATCCCTTACTCCTACACATTTCTACCCGTGTTTTCATTGTAACAATTCTTTGGGAACGTATACTATAAATGTGACACATTCCCTCTGCATTGAGGATTAAAGATGATCCTGCAAGAACATGAACACCGAGTACAAAGTGTGGTTCTGTCATTAACTATACATGTGACAGTGTCTCTTAAAACCCTAACACTCTCAAATACAATCGTGCCTTGCATTTCTAAAACAAACCCTGAACGAAAACCTCCACCTTCATATGGTCTGAGCGATGACCATCTACCATCTAGCAGCACTCGTCTCAGTTTGAAGTATACTAGATCAGCTCTTTCATTTCTGGATCTCAGAGAACTTTTCTCTTTCAACCAATACGTTACTATCACGTATGTTGTTCCTCATGAATAATTTATTTGATTGAAAGAAACGCGATGTTATCGAATAGACTTGACTAACGTGGGAACAGAGACTGGAGATCTTAGTTGATTAGTTGACTTATGATAGATGGGGAACAACTGACATTGTATCATAGGTGTTGGGTAATAACGATGATTTAAGGACAACTTCAAAATTACCAAGTAGCAAAGTATAGCGAATCATATTTTGAGAGAACTTGTTGATTATGCAAACGTGAAATTCTTTAATCGTACCTTCTGTTGTTTGGGATGTTGAAGCACTTTCTTGACCCGTCTCCATTGGTTCTGCGGACTGAGCAACATCTTTTTCAGTTTCTATTGCACTTTCCTCTTTCTGAAGTACTTCCGCAGATTCTGCAGGCTTTCCGGAACTTTCCTCTGTGGGCTTTTCTTCCATTGGGACGTCTACAGTCTCCAGATCAGAGGCTTGATCGGCGTAAGAATTTTCGGCCACGGGCAACGGTTCTTCAACTTTCGATTCCGCGTCTTCGACGGTGTTTTCCTCATTTTCTTCCATCTGAGTCTCCTGTTTTTTTTCGTCAGCTTCCTCTTGTCCTTGTGGTTCCATGGCACTTTCTTCCGCAGCACTAGCACCATCCTCGTCCAACGAATTGCCATTTTTTTGACCGACGTTGGAAATCGCTTCGAGCAATCGTTCCACAAGAACCGGTTTGTTTCCCTTCGTATCTAAGCCCCGATTTTGCAATTCTGATCTCAGCTCTGCAACTTTGAGCTTTTTAACGGTTGCTTCGTCTAAATCACTCATGCTGCTAACTATGTCAGGAAAAACCTGAGCAATTTTATCGAAACTGACTCAAAACTTTATTCCCACACGTGCATAAGTTGGAGAAAAGTAGCGAGAGTGTCTTTTGCCCCCCCGCGAAGTCCTAAAACGCATGCGCATCATCAAAGTAGTTTTACTTCGGACAAAGGGCGCCTCATTTTTTTGTTATTTTTCCACCTCGAGCGATAATTCAGGCTATTTTTCTGCATTTTACATCAATTAAACTTTTTAAAACACAAAAAATTCAGTCTCTGAGCAAAATAGGTCAGAAATGACGAAGAAAAGAACTGATTTCTAAGCGATGAAAATTGTTACGAGCCTACAATTAATTTGTTATCTTACTCAGCGGTTAATCGCAGAAAGTATACCGCCATGTTGTCTGATTTCTTCATCTTGAGTTCTCGAGGAGATACGCTTGTATATCGCGATTGTATCCTTTTCCCGAGCTTTTTTTGACAAATATGGCTGATTTAGGGTTTAATTACACTGTCTGATTCTAGTTTAAGCTCTTGCCTAAATGTTATTTCTTTTTTTTTCTTGTGAAATGCACTTTGAAAAGTAAGCTTTGAAATCGATAGTTAGATCTCTTTGCTATTCTCTCATTTCATCGATTTCCATTAACACTCGATAAATTGATTTTATCAATTTTTCACGGTCAACGATTCCTGTCGACCGATGTTGACTAGGGAGTTCCTGAATCTATATTTGATATCGGTACATTTTTAATTTTTTGCCCATTTAAATTTATGTGTGGGACATCTATCTTAGAAAATTTTCACATTTCCTTCTAAGGTTCTGAAAACCTCTAGGCTCTTCTGGCACTGTTTATCAAATAAACCCTCAAGAAATCAGTGGGCGCTGCAGGAAAATGTCAGTTTTTTGGGGAGTGAAGGGGGTGGGGATTAATACGAAATGAGACACTAGGGTACCTTACTGATTCGGAGAGTCTATGTTTCTATAATCATGGTTAAGCTTTCCTTAATTCATTCAAGACAGAGGGGATGGTGTGAAAGGAACCCCAGACATCTTCTACAGGAAAATAAAATCTGGCAAGGAAAGTCTCCCTCCAATATTTGTGAGTTACTGGAAAGAAACCAAAGAAACATAACTTAAGTTTAACCCTTTAACCCTTTCACTCCCAAGATCTAATTAGTAATTCTCCTTACTATCAGCCATACAGCTTGCAGAGCATAGCCCTATAATTATACAAAATAGTAGTAACCCATCAAGCCAAAAAAATTTGGTTGTATGACTGTACAACCGTACAAGGTGCTACTTTTAACATGCATGGTCAACTATACCATGGGCACGCCAATGCCACGGCTTTGTCCAGTAGTCCAGTGGTCAGTGCACTGGGCTCCGAGTTGGATGACCCAGGTTCTAGTCCTGGCTGGAGCAAGGCTTTGTGCCCTTGAGACTAGCAGGGAAAAAAAAAAAAAATTGCTAACTCCACTTTTAGGCTTGGCTAAATCTATATATTACTTTGATTCTTGAGAGTGACCAGCATCTAATTTCTCCTAATAACATCGCCCCAAAGCAAACATTACAAGGTCATGAGGATAAAGGAAATACACACCAACTAAAAAAGCTCTAACATCAGTATTCATTTTCTCCTTACTCTTCTCTTTACAATTATTTTAGTACTGACAACAAGAATTTGTTTTGCAATCAAAGCTCCTTAAGTTACTTATCATTTCCTTTATTCTTATGCTCTAGATGAATGATTCGGCAATATTACTTTAAGAATGAATTAGATGCTAATCATTCTTAGCAGTGAAAGGGTACAACAAATTCTTCTTGGCAGCACCATAGCAAATGTATACAGAACAGTATGCACAACATGCATGAGGGCGTAAAGGGTTATAGAAAGTGACTAAAGTAATGATTTTGATTACTTCCACAGAATGTTGATAGTGTCAACTTTATCTTCATCAAAAGAAATGGACTCTACTTTGTTTCCACCACAAAGTTTAATATTTCACCTGCCTTTGGGGTTGAAGTGCTAACAAGGTACAAAGTTATGTTATGAAATTAACCATTTAACTCTCATGAGTGACCATAACAGAATTGCTCCTAACAAGTATCAATATAATTTCAAGCAGGCAAGTGACAAGAATGAAGGAATATATTAATTAGGGGATTATTAGTTGATCTAATACCAAATTCTCAAGTCTAACATCACAAGAACTATATGGCAGACAGTAAGGAGAACTGCTAATAAGATCTTGGGAGTTAAAGGGTTAAAAGATTCCTGGTTGCCGTACATCTGTTCAGTACTACATCACAAATTGACATCAAGAACAAGAACAAAAAAGTGACTCATGAGGTGCAGTCAAGTGTATCACTGGTGTTCTTGACACATTTTGACGTTGTCTGTGATCAATATCTGAACAGACCCACGACTACAGGGAATCTATTAGTTTTATTTAATAAAGAAGCAAAAAAGTTACAATGGTGATGCTATTATGCTTCTGTCCTTTAATAGATCATAAGTAAGAACCAACCTTAATTTCCTGTGTAATTTGCTTAATATTGAATAATAGAAAATGGTTAAAAGTTAACTGAACTGACTATGCATTTGGTACCTTTACGATTTGTTCGCGTGAAAGGAAATATATAAAGCAAATCTAGTAAAAGGAAGATAAAAAATTGTTTTTAAAAATCACAAGGCTATGCTCTTTAGAGGATTTGGTAGGATAGACAACTTATATTTTTCACTGGACAACTTTTACAACTTCAATACTTGTGAAAGCATAGAGGGTTCAGCTATAGTGTAGCTGTGTTTGTTATTCTGCTGAGAGTACTGTTTGTCCTTAGTATCCTTCAATACCCAGAAGTGATTAACAAGTTACTTCTTCCTATAACATCCATACCTTATTCAGCAAACAGGTAAAGAGAATACTTAAACTTATCAGCAATGAGTCAACTTTTCTTGACCAAACACCAAATTCTTGTAAATAATTTACAAGGAAATGTGTAGCACCTCAATAGGAGAATTAAAAATCAGATCTTGAAAGTTAAAGGGTTAACTGGAGATAAATGTTTTTGTAGAATTTCAGATCTTTGCAAGGATTACTGTGGTGTTCTTGATGAAGAAGCAATCAAATGTAATTTCCCTCTTATTTATGAGTTGCTGGATGAAGTATTGGTAAGCTGCATCTTTCTTTCACTCTTAATAGCGATTAAAAAGGAAGTTCTCCTTACAATAATACCACATTTTCTAACAGAGAGGTACTGGGAAAAAAAAAAGAAAAAAATATCAACAATGGAATATTGTTTGATTAAACACCAAATTCTCTGGGCTAAAACAGTTAATTCTTTTCTACCAGACACTTTTGTAAGCAGACACTTCTGTAAGCAGACACTTCTGTAAGCAGACACTTCTACTTACAAAAATATTCGAATTCCCATTTTTGCTTTCCAGTTTAACTCTGTATTTACACATTTCTGTGAGTGGACACTCTATTGTAAGCTTTCGTGGACACTTTTTTAAATGAACATTGGATTTTGCTTTTGTTTACACTCTCTTGTAAGTGCACACCCCACCAATAATAATTGACTATTGGCAAAAAAATTTGCCTTCAATGTGCAAATCAACAAAAGACAACCTTTGGCAGAAAATTTGTCAATGGTAAAGCAAGCTGTTGATTAATTTGAAAGCAACAAGAGTCCAGTATGACACTCTCCAGTAAGCAAACATCTGCCTACTGTTTCTTTGTTTTCCCCTTTTGAGAATCATCTTCAAAGGCAGACAGTTCTTCTAATGGACATTTTTGTCCAATTCCTGAGGATGTCCACTTACAAGAGAGTTTACTGTATTTCAAGAAGAGTTTGGAGAATTGGTTTTGAGGTCTTGCTTGTAAATAAAAGGGTTATAGAATGAAGAGGAAATGTTATGTATACATTGTCCAATAGTGGAATCAGACAGAGTGCATTTGAATTGAGTTTTGTGAAACCAAAACCTTTGATAATGTACTGTAATTACAATTTTAAATCAAAGTAAATTGAAGTAAATATCACACTGAGCTGACAAGAACTTGATTAACAGCACTTACAAGAAAATTGACTAAAGCATGATATTAGATAAATATTACCACCTCTCATTTAATTTTAGTTTTGCTTATGATTGGTTTACCCTATTATCCCCTAAGAGTGACCAGTATTCAATTTCTCCCTACAATATTACCCCTGAATTACTCAGTAAGGCCATGAGAGTAAAGGAAATGATCAACAAGCTAAGAAGCTCTTGATTGTTAAACAAATTCTCCTTGTCAGCACCTAAAAAATGTATAAAGAACAGTATAGAGAATATGCATACTGATGTTAGGGTGTAAAGGGCTCAGAGGGTGTTGCAAGTTTTCTAGAGAACTCACTGAGTACAGTGAAAGAAAACTCAATGATGTAACCCAGAAAATGTTTAACACTAGATAATTGTACAGTTCTTCTATTTCCATTAACTTTCATTATTGTGCTTTGAAAAGTTCTAATAGCGGCAATCTTGCCTGCTCTCAAGATTTTCATCATCGTTTACTTCTCCTTTGCAGGATTTTGGGTATGTCCAGGTTACATCAACAGAGAATCTCAAGCCATATGTATGTAATGTCCCTGAGGTAGCCACAAGATCAGAGGAACCACTGTGGCAGTGTACTGGAAGAGTAGTAGTAAGAACTTGCAATTCCTGTTGGGGAACAGAGCATTTGATCCTAGTCATCTGAATTGTTAATGCAACCAACCATGTTGTAAATTTTGTTCGATGAGTCTTTTCCCCCTGAGGACATCCCTTTTTTTTTTTGACAGTATGGTACTGATAAGATGTCTCTGCCAAGTACTGCTGCTAATAAGCCTGTGGTTCTTCCAAAGATGATACAGGTAAGTGAGACAATTCTCCTAGTTAGACTCAACAAGGGTAGAGGCAATATGCCCATCTAGAAGGGCTAGGGCGAAAGACACTTCCTTATGGATTTCTGGCCACAGCTGCCTATTAAACCCTTGCAGCCACTTAGGGAGAAGCTAGTGAAATTTATGCAGACCCCTGCTCTTTTACATAATGATATTCTGAAAATAACCCAGACCATATGTTCGGTTTATCATGCAAACATGTTAAATACAGCCAACTCTTATTCCAATCTGCTGTTGATCCAAAATGACAATGATTGCAACTATTCTTGTCCATGTTTACACAGAGAGGAAAGAAACGGGAAGTATTTTTGGATTTGTTAGAAAGGCTTACAGTATTGGTTGGTACAAATGTAAGTAATTTTTCCCGACAATAATGCTTTACACCATAACATCAGTATCAATCAATAAAAATGCTTGAAAATCTATATTCTTTGGGACAAAGCAACATGCGGAAGCATTACGTGGTTGCAAAAGAATTTTGTAAACAGCTGCGTACGAAGAAATTGATTTGTCATATAAACTGCGGTGTTTCACAAAGATTTCCAGCCATGTGAAAAGCCGTTAATGCACACGTGTAAAACTACAATAATATTTTACTTGTATTAATGATATCGGCAAACAGCTGCTGATGCGTTGCTCGTCTTTCTCATCACTCTGTCGAGTTGATGAATGACAGACAAAGCGATCACCATTCTTAATCTGTGGTAGTTTTTCGAATTTTCATGTCAGTAAAGGCCTATGGTGTTAAAAAAAAAACAAATAAACAAAATATTATAAGGTTGCTTGTAGATTTGGAATTTCTCTTCTTGTGTCCAACTCGATAGTTCACTCGTTTACTGCGCTCACTCGTGAGATATCGAGCTAAACACTCGAAGAGAAATCTTATCTACGCGCGCCCATGTGTTATTCTCTATTTATCTCACAACTAAGAGTATATTGTTCGTGTGACCATTAAATTTGTTTTTTTCTTCAAGGGGAACATTTTAAGGAGTGAAATTGATGGATGCATTCTAATGAAAAACTTTGTGGCTGGTTCTCCAGAAGTGAAGATCGTGTTAAATGACGATTTCTTTGTTGGAAAGTCTGATGTGGTTTCCAGAGGTAATGGAAAATTTAGAAACCAGAAACAATGTGGGATATCACAACGGGAACTACAGAAAAAACAACGAAAAGCTGAACTCGCTTCAGCCATGCGTTGTTTTGTTCCCGCCCATATTTCCTTTTAAGTCGATTCATGACAGGTTCAGCTTTGTCAACCAATGAAATGTCATAGGTTGAGTTTGGCGAATCGGTGCCTGAGTCATAACGCTCATCTAATCTTTGGTATGAAATCATTATGGGAACACAGCAATCCATATTATAAGAATTTATTTTCGTATTTAAAAATGTCTATGCCTTGATTTGAAAAGGTTTGTTTTCCACGCTATACTTTTTCTGTTTCTCTCTTTAGTTGACAGTGTAGCAGTGAGGCTGGACGACTGTACGTTTCATGAGTCTGTCGACGTAACCAACTTTGAATCAACACGAACACTTCTAGTGAATCCACCAGAAGGAGAGGTCTGGAACTGTTTTGATTTTATTTATCATTGTTGTTGTTGTTTTTAAACAATTTTCGGAATATAAAAATTTATTGAAATTCCTGGGAGGAGTAGCAATGTTCATGGTTGATTCAAGCTACAGAAACCATAGCCTGCGGTGAAAGCTTCTTACTAGGGCAATTAACGTTAAAAAGCTCGCGATCGTTTATTCAACCATCCCTGTTTGATTTGGAGATAGAGGCGGTGGGGGGTGGGGGGTGGGGGCAGCGAAGGGCAAAATCTTTACTACCCCACCCTTACCCCTTTCCTTATTTTTGACAGGCGACCGCCCTCTTGGTACAAATTTCTTTCTCACCCCAGCCTTCTGCTGACATTTAAAAAAAACATAGCGGCCACAATTTTTGGTTAGGAAATACTGAGTACTCGCTCGCCAAAATTGCGCCTGCTGTGCAGGCTACTGAAACCATGCTTATTTCCAGCAGCATGTCCAGTCAGCCAAAAGTGCTTTCAGAGCATATTTCAAAGTTTGTTATTCTTGTTACGAATACTAACTTGTGTTCTCTCTCTACAGTTTGTTGTTATGAAATACCGACTTTCAGAGGCCAACCAGTCAAATCTTCCTTTTACCTTGATTGCCTTTGTCGAGGAAAATGAAGATTCAAAGTATGTTTTGCATGTTTTGTTATGTTTCCTTCTAATCTGTAAAACCCTTAGCTGGTAATGAATCCTCGCAAATCTTCGAGGGTCTTCGAACTTGATCATTCCCTACACAAAACATCGTAAACGTAAGTCGTCGTGAAATCGAAACATTTTCGATTCTTGGACGGTTGGCCGACCTGTTTATAGTAGAGAGATACCAGATTGACCGTGACTTTGGATCCATATCGGTTGCTAACATTTCTTGTTGTTTCTGAGTAGAATTCTTGAAGTTGTACTCAAGTTGAGATGCACTGTGCCTTCCTCAAGGTAAAATGAACATCAAAGGAATATTTGATTGAACGCGGAAAGAAACTTAGATTCTGATTTTTCTTTGGTATGCCATTTCGTACCGACAACATAGTTTTGTCTAAGACGCATGCTCATCTGATTATAACGATTGTAAGGTTGCGTATTTCAGCCTTCTTTTGCAATAAACCGTATTAAAGTTTTGAAAATATCATGCAACTAAATCCTGAAAGTTGTGACCTTGAAACTAATATTCCCTTGTTAGTAAGAAAAGAGGAATACGCCTGATGGAACGAAGTTTTCCAACTCACGTTTATAACGCAGAACCAAACGTGAAAATTTGAAACAGGGGGGAACACTTCTAAAAACTTTGTGTGTGATCATATGCATGTTTTTGTTTCGAAATAGCATTTTCACTTCCAACGGCCAGTGCACAGTTTTAGTCCGTAAAGAATGATAAGAAAACGGTGTACTCATTACTTCCGTAAAGCTATAACCGCGTCCCCCCTCCCCTCCCCCACAACAAATGTGGTTCCGTTACTATATCCCTTTGTTTATTCTTAGTTGCGCCAACAACATTGTGGTGAAGTTACCAGTACCAAAGTTAACAGACAGGTATGGTGATATTGTTAGGAATTGATATGATTCTGTAAAAATCATTCGTGTAATTTCACCCTTGGGCAAAGTTCTTTCACTGAAAAATTCTCGCCTGAACTCGAACCTTGCTGAGCGCGGTTTAAACCATCCGTTAGAAACGTTTTGGGGGCTGGGTCAAAATGTTCTAAAGGAAGCATATGTTAATCTAGGATTCTTTGCGTACGGAAAGCGTAGGAGACGTATAGCATTTTGAAAACGCAGGGAAACATATCGCCTTTTGAAAGTGCGAGAAAAGTGTGTGTTTGGAAAGCGCTGGAAAAAGTGTGGTCTTTGGAAAGAGCGGGAAAAGTGTGGTCTTTGGACTCTAACCTTGACATTGGAAACGGACGTGGACATTTTTCGCCTACTTTTCGTTTGTTTACGCGGAGTTTTGGTTGTTTTTGAGCTTTCGTTCGCGTAAATTTGTTACCCCTTTGTTTGGAATATTAAGAAGTTTGGAGTTTTTATTTTGTGATGTTATATTTTCTGTTTTTTTTTTGTTCTTATATTTTCCAACAGTGTTTCACACCATATAACATCCGGGACGCAGACAGGAGAGTTCAAGTCATCCGAAAAAGCCTGGTACTGGAATATTAAGAAACTTCAAGGAGGGTCGGAATTATCAGCGTCTATTAAGGTTACTGTTTGAATTCCTTACCATCGTCTTTTGAAACTTAGTAAGCCGTCGTTCCCGGAAACTTTTTTGATTAGTTGGCTTTCTAATGGAACAGTGTACGATCGGAGCCGTGTGAGAAAACTTGTAACATTCTGCAAACGTTAGAAAACATTTAGCAGTTTTAAAGCGTACAGAAAGCGTAGGAGACGTATAGCATTTTGAAAACGCAGGGAAACATATCGCCTTTTGAAAGTGCGAGAAAAGTGTGTGTTTGGAAAGCGCTGGAAAAAGTGTGGTCTTTGGAAAGAGCGGGGAAAAGTGTGGTCTTTGGAAAGGGCGGGAAAAAGTGTGGTCTTTGGAAAGCGCGGGAAAAGTGTGTATTCGGAAAGCGCAGGGAGGTATGGAGTATTTAGAAAACGCGAGGAAACATATGTGGCCGGTAATTTAGACGAGATCGAACTCAAATCATGGTTTTACGCAATTAGTAGGCCACAGGCTCTCTCCTTAAGAGGGTTGATTGAGTAAAATGTTGTCCTTCCATTGTAAGCTTTCGGCCCTCTCAACAATGTTCGCAAAAGTAAATGTTCAGATTAAGGTTTAGCTGAGGAGAGAGAGGAATAGTGTGGCGTTTGAAAAGCGCTGGGAAAAGGGTAGCGTTTAGAAAGCGCGGGAAAACATGCAGCGTTTGGAAAGTGCGGGAAATTTTGTAACATTTGCTAAGGGCGGGAAAATATATGGCCTTTGTAAAACGCGGGGACACGCAGAGCGTTGGAAAGTGTGGGCAAAGAATGAAACCAAGTAAATGTTAACGAGCAGTAGGTAATTTACAGCTGCTAAAATTTTTGTTTTAGCCAATTGATTTTCAAAGTGTCTGAATTTAGTGTCTTTCTGTTTCGTAGGCGCATATGAGTGAAATACGAAAATCTTCACGGAAAGAAGTCGGCCCCGTAAGGTCAGCATTGTATAAGTTTGAGTTATCTCAGGGACAGTTTTTTACATAAGTATTGGATGATATTATCACCCACTTATTTGTATTGTCTTGAAATATTTCTCTCTGTATTTCAGTTTGGACTTCGAAATACCAATGCATATATGCTCCGGTCTCCAAATCCGATATGTGCGCGTACAGGATCGAGAGAAAGCTTGCAGCCTCTTTCGCTGGGTTCGTTACATCACTCATAGGTGAGATGTTAGTGTTACAAGATTCTTTGCTTCAGTTTTCAGTGGTTTTGATTTAAGTTTTCCATGGCATAACATCGAAAGTACCTAATCTCTCTCAAATCTCTTCATGCCTTATAAATTCTTAATGAGATAAACACTGTACTGGATCCAACTCGTCTTTTACCCATGACACGAGCTTGTCACCACTCCCCCCTATTTCTGCCCTTTCCCTCTATTGTTTTGATTTAACTTGGAGAATTTAGAACTTTTGATGGGCCCGATTGCCGGTCGCTTCCCTTCGGGGGATCGAAGACTGTGCTGCGAAAAACGGCGGGTCTAACCTTTCAGCTTAGTGAAAAAATTGAGATCATGCTTTATGTCCTAACCGTGGTTTTTTTTACTTTCTTCCTAGCGATTCCTATGTGTTTCGTATATAACTGGAGGCTGCGGAGAATATGCAGGAAAGATACTGAAAAACATCTCGGATAGATCGAGCTCTGGTTTAGAAAAGCTAATTAAGTGCTACGTGTTCGCCTCTTCTTAAACGTTAAGCGCGCATTGCATTTTGGTGAATATCATGGTGGACAGTTGGGGCCACTGGAAATTTAAAGAAAAGTTAATCCATAGATCGCATAAATTGCAACTCAAGTTCGATGGGTTATTATTTCTCACAACTTAGTGTTTTGAAGTCACCGATGCAGTCTGAGCTTTCACTGAAAGGAGAAATAAAGTAATAGAATTCATGGGAATTTGTCCTCATTTGATTTTGTTCTTATTGTTTGTTTAGATTTTTATTTTTTTTCATTTGTTGGAAACATGTGGCGCCTGGGATCATACCGTGATGATCCAGGGGCGGATTCAGGGGTGTTTACCAAGGGGGGGGGGGGGTTCAAAATTAACTATCGACCAACTAAGCCCCCCCCCCCCCCTTCACTTACGTTTTCAGAAAAAAATCATAAGAGAAAAACATGAGAGAAGAGAGAGGATATGAAGCTGGAGACGTACGAATTTATTCAGTTTGTTAAGGCATTTCTAGCATGCGATCTACCACAACAAAAGATGCACCTCTGCGCCCTCATAGCGCTCGTACTTCTTGATTTTTTCCAAGCACCGTTCACGCATTTCATCTCGCCGTGTAACACTCGTAGCACGAGCAATTGTTAACGTGACGAACTCTCTCCGCTTTCCCATTAGGACAATGCGTAGAGTGTTCTGTGTACCCCGTACTCTTGCAACACTCACACACCATTCTGTACCGGAGGGAAGCCATGAGAATTCTACTTCAGGAGTGGTATGTTCCTCGACATGTTTGAATTGTGACGTCTTTCTTTCCATCAGATTTTAAACATCTGTGGTTCACGGTCACATGTGACTCCCCATTCCTCCCAAATACCGGCCCATGTTAGCTGAATGAATACCATTGTGGCAAGTACGACACAAATCCTGAAAATGATAACAATCAAGTGATGCTTTAAGAACAGGTCATTCTTTACCGCCTGTTGGGGAAGGGAGGAGTGTTAGTTATATCACGATAACATTTATCTGACCCCCCCTCTAGGCTCAGTAATATCCTATGATCCCCCTCAATGGCATTTCATTGGCAGTCAATTTTCTACAGTCCTCCCCCCCTTGTACTCTGTTGGCGACGACTGCTCCCCCGTCCGTTCCCCCTAAAAACCATGTGATCCCCCCATAATCCTCTGCATATCACCCCCATCTTAGATCCTCGAATGTGATTGGTTAAACGTGCGATCGTAACCAGCTTTTTACACTATGGACCACTATCCGGAATTTTTCCGCGCCATTCCGCAGCAAAGCGGAAAAAAAATCAGAAGTTATTTTCGGACCTCGCATACAATAGTTTGCCATACGGACTTCCCACACGGTAAATAACATATGTGTATCCAGCATAGTGATGAGATGTAAATTTGTGTCAAAGACAGATGTCTGAGATGAACACACGCAGTTTGTTAAAAGGAACACGTCTTTTAAAATTTTACCTTCGCTTTTTATACCTCGATCCTTGCTTCAAACGTCATGTCTCACGCCAAGGGAAACTGGCAACCATCACGACCCAACATCAACGAAAGAACCGAGTATATGTTTAACAACGATCTCTACAGCGACGTGAAGTTTATTGTGCCTAAGACTGTAGGAGAAAGTAAAATTAAACGAGAGATTCCAGCTCACAAGTTCATACTGTCGATCAGCAGTCCTGTGTTTGAGGCAATGTTTCACAATGTGCTAGCGGAGCCTACAGACACCATTGAACTGCCTGACTGTGAGTACGAGAGTCTGCTGGAGTTGTTTCGCTACATGTACAGCGACGAAGCCAACTTAAACGGAAATAATGTGATGGGGGTGCTGTATTTAGCGAATAAATATATAGTGCCTGCACTGGCTGATATATGCGTGACTTATTTACAAGAAAACGTGGATTCATCGAATGTGTTCAACGTTCTACCCTCGGCTCTGATATATGAAGAGAAAGAGTTGGTAGAGGAATGTTGGGACGTGGTTGATAATCAAACAGAGCAAGCCTTGAGATCGGAGGCTTTTAAGACAATTGAGAGATCCTTACTCGAAGCAGTTGTCCAAAGGGATAGCTTGGCTATTAAAGAGTTGAATTTGTTCCAAGCAGTCAATCTCTGGGCGGCAAAGGAATGCGAGAGACAAGGATTATCAACAAACGGTAAAGTGAAAAGAAGAATTCTTGGAGAGTCCATCGTGAGAGGAATACGCTTTCCACTTATAAGACAAGCTGAATTTGCCAGAATTGTTCTTGTTAGTGAAATACTTACAACTCAGGAAGTCGCTAGATTTTTCAAATATTACAATTACGCCCAGTCCGCGTCTTCACTGGGATTTTTGGATTCCAAACGAACAGGATTCAGCGATCATAGGATTTATCATTGTCGCAGATTTAGATCACTATTAGATGGAAGAAACAGAGTTAACGGGGGAAACAACGATCGACTCCTTTTTCGTGTGGACAGAGATATTATTGTACATGGTGTCGGCTTGTTTGGAAGCGATAACAATAGCTACTCCATCACTGTGGAGTTAAAAGAAAGTGGCCAAACTTTCCCTGAAGAGGTCGTATCGGAAACTGTTCAATGCACGTATATACCATACAAATGTGATTTCTATTTCGGGTATGAACTTATGTTCCACGCTCCAATTTATGTCAAGAAAAATACAGACTATGAATTTAAAGCGAGCATTCATGGTCCGCAATCTTGGGTCGGGAGAAATGGAACTGCCATCATCCAATATATACTTCCCATAGCGAGATTTACATTTACAGATGTCAAGGATGTCAGTAATGCCACAACCACTAAGGAGGGGCAATTTCCCGAAATATTATTTTCCTGTATTGTTTGACCAGGTGATTTTTCTTACAGCGAGGCACTAACTAAACTTAAGCCACATTTACATAGTCGCCGGTACCCAAGACAAACCTTCCCGCGAGACAACTTTACGGAACGTTTATATGGTGTTGTGGGTTACAACAGCTGTCCTCTAACCAGTCTCCCTCGGACGGTTAGGCAGGTGACATGTTGAAATGGCGGACCGCAGAAGACAATTTGAGCCGTCTCGTCTCGGGCAGGCGAGCCGAAGTGAGGAAAAGGTGTTCCGCCTGACAGGGTCACGCTATCTCCCGAGGCGAGACCTCATGCTTACCCTTCCCTGTTGTCTCGCCTCTCGAGACAAGTTCGTCATTTTCATATAAAAGGTTGGTTTGATTTTTCAAAAAAAAAAAAACGAAAAATTAGCTCGGCCAGGGTAAAACGTGAGAAGGGAGGATTATCTCGGGAACCCGAGATCATATTGATGGGCCCTTACTTTTCCTTGTTTTTGCTTTTTATCTCTGTGGAAAAGATGGTAGATTTATAACTAAGTCGTCGACTAAATATGTCATGGAATAATTAAAAGTGTGTCGTGAAGCGTTTCTACGCTCAAAATTGATTCCCTTGTTTTATAATATTTATAATTGTGTATTAAGCAAGTTGTAATTTCGTTACCGTTAAGGTTGAATTTTTCTAACGTTAAAGTGAAATGTTCCACGTTACATTCTACTAGGATAATCAAATAAGTTCCCCGGACAGAGATGCATCGAATTAGGTATTTCCAGGGCATTAAGCGCGTAGGAACATAGCAGCATGATTGTCAAGTAAACCCATGTTTGATAGGAAATTAGTACCCGCGAATCGTTGTAGAACGTGAGCAAGGCTTGAATCCCACATGGAATTAGTTAACTGAGTGTGGAGCTAATAAATGCAGCGATTTTTGTAACCCTAGGTTAGATTGGAATGGAATAGATAGATAGTTGGACGGTACGTGTAATGCTGAATTGTCGACAAATAAAGCCTGAATCGAGTGAAAGTGTACGGTCCAAGATTACTGAACCAGCGTGTGCGGAATTCTCAGTGACGCGAGTGGGAAATTATGCGAAAAAGAATTCGATCTCCAGACTTTCGGATTTTTAAAATTGGGCTAATCTCGTACCCAGATCCTACCGTATAAGTGTAACCGAACCACTCGGCCATGGAAGGTCTGGGTACGTGACTTATACTTGGGTCATATATTAAAGTGGCAAGTGATTAGCTTCCTGTTTTGATCAACAATTTTGAAAGCTTTGTTGGTGTACTAGATGGGATGGTAAGATGATAGAGTATTTCAATAATTGTACCGTCATACTACAGCCTTTGATGACAAACTGTATCAGCAGTGTAATATTCTCTTGGGGCATTCTGCGGTGTCGCCTGCAACGATCTTCAAGGACTGAGAAACTTCCAAACTCTGTGATTAAGCGTCGCTAGTTTGGCGAAGGAAACCCTTCATGATTGCCGACCGTCGTCGAACTCACAACCTGCTGTGAAATGGTCCTATTCACTTATCCCTGAGCTACATAACTATAGGATGGCTTTTACCGATAACATGATTACAGTCAACAATCTTTTAAGTAACTAGGGGCGTGTTCCTCGAAGATCAGGTAACCTAACCGAAAAACCTGTTTGTTTGCCGGGTCTTGCTCAAGATCGAGATATCAGCAGTTAAAAAATTCAAAAAAAAAATATATATATTTCAGGAAATGAAACAGAATGATTTTCAATTTTGAGCTGAGACCTGCCCTATCATTTTGAAGATTTAGATGATCGATCTGAAAATAGTATTTTCGGTTTCAGTGTGAATTAATATTTACCCGTATGACTTTCGAAATATTGATCCAGGCCCTTAGCACTTTTTGGTCTGAGTATGCCACCAGTAATCTCTTCATTGAGACATTCATCAAAGGAAAAGCAACGTGCTGGTATCACACAAACCAAAACTTAAACAATGAAGTACTTCATCATAATAACTTCAGCTTCACTGTTTTTGATCAATCAGGATTGAACAACTATATAACACACAAAAAAAATTTCTCTTAGACCAAAAATATCAACTTCAATAGACAATGAACGACACTTTCTTTTTTTTGAATGAATTGGCATTTTGATCTTCCTTTTATCATGAATCCTTAAACCTGAATATCCTAGGTTTTATAAAACAAGCTTAAATGGAACAACAATATATACAAGAAACTGAATAAAGGGGTAAGTTTCTAAAGAAACTGTGATGCTGCGTCGGTGGGAGAGTATACCCTGTCTCGGTAATTTAGTGTTGTTGGGGGGATCACATAGTTTTCAGGGGAACGGAGGGAGAATCAGTCGTTGCCTAATATCGTACCCAGATCCTACCGTGAAACTATAACTGAAATGTACGTACTACCGTTTGGCTGTGGAAGTCTGGGTACAAGACTAGTCTTTGCTAACAGAGTATACATGGAGGACTAAAGAAAATCTATCCGGATCCCGGATAGATAATGATCAGTTCCCTAGTTGAAGTGAAAATCTTTAAGTGAAAACCCCCTCGACATCGATCGCTTACACTTTATCATCAATGAAGAACGAGGATAAATTTGATAATTGTTTTATTTGAATACCTCAACCAGCAATCAGGTCGTTGAGACGCAATCAAGCCTTAATTTACTCATAATCAGCTTAAGATGGTCAGTGCCTTACGCTGCATGCGTTAAATTGGAAATTTCAACATTACCATACTTGAAAACGAACAATCTATCCAATAATGTGTTCCAAATATTGTTAGTTTCATGTTCCCTAGACGTTCCTGATTTTATTTCCTCTGTATGGTTTTACTCAAAGTCAGCTAACTTTTGTGTCCTTTTTCCTACACACTCAAGGGCATCTTGAACACACGCAGGCTTTCGCGTCCTTTATTTTCTCCACAGTTCCATCGTTGCACTCTCTATCCCGTTCTAGGAATCCTTCAGCTCTACAACACGTGCAAACTGTTTGGTCCCATGAACTCATTGTAATTCTACTTAAAGACCTGCACGTTCCGCGGCATACATGAACGTCCTCAAAAAACTGTCCACCACAAACCGTAATTCTCTGTTTTTCTTTCTCACACGTCACCCCCATATCCGCCCAGTAGTCTTTAGCGCATGTCTCGTAATTTAACATCAACATGGCGATCGTGATGTAAACTAAATTTCTCATCATGCTGCAAAAAGAGGACAGAAAAGAGATCAAAACTTGACAACTTGTTTTTATTCTACGCTAAATAGAGGATTTCAACGCACAGTTAAATCATTCTAAGATTTATTTTGGGAGGGAACAGATAAATTCAAAGGCGGGTCCAGAACTTTTTGATAGGAGGTGAAGGGAGATAGGCCAAACTTTGATTTAGAAAACATGTAGTTATTTCTTAAACCGGAATCAAAATAAATTTTCAATTTCTTAAGTTGAGCATTTAAATGTGATCTCGCCAGAAAAAGAATCATGGTTTCAGACAAGCTTAAAAATAGTGCCCACAGACCAAATAGGCGTGCGGGGTGGTGGGGAAAGGGTGGAAGGAGAAAAGAGGTTGTTCGGAGCCCCCAGATTCCCTAACCCTAAATCCGCCAATGAGAAGCCACCCAAGTTCTTTCAAAACTTCGTAATGCGGTCACATGTATCATTTGAACTGTCAATCACCAAGATTGAGTTGCGCGGCACATTTTACAATTAATTTAATCAGTAATGCATTAGAAGAGTGATTAGTGGGAGAAATTGTATTTCACACTCCGATTTTGGTTATTGATATTGCAGCAAACTTATCAGAATTTAGATTTCGTTACTGACAACATGAAACTTTAGATTAATTTGTTCACAACTTGTAAGTCTTGTAATGAACGAATAGCCAGCTCAGTTGAAAGAAGCACCCAGATAGTATATTAGAGGCCTGGGTTCGAATTAGGTTTCTTTTCTGCAATTACTAAAATTGCAGTCCTCCTTTCTTATCTCGATTTAATTTTTTATTCAATTGAAATTTAATTTCATTTAGGTAAAGTAAATAATACGCTTTATGGTATAACATGAATGGAAATAAGTATCTTTTGTAAATTTTCTTGAAAAAAAGTTTTAAAAACTTCATGTTTCTTTTGATGAATATCCTGAGGGTTAAAATGAAATAAGCTTCACGGCGTTGGTTAAAACAACACAAGAGATTATTTTTCTGTTTTTTATCTCTCGCCCGAAAAAACAACAACAGCTCCAATGGGTTTTTTTTCTGCAATCATAGCTAAGAGTTTATTTTTGCTCAGCTTGATAGCAAAATATTTTTCTTAAGCAGAGAATGTTGGCTTTATGTAGAAGAGATTGTTTGGTGAGTATTCTGAATTCGTTATTGTTGCACGTGTGATTGCTCAAATTTTACGATAATTTAAAAACGCTATCGATTATTTAAGAGAGTTAGCTCAAGCTGAATCGTGTAAAAACCATGTCTCTCCGAGTCGAATATTTATCTAAAATAATTTACGGTAAACAAAGATATAGCGTTATTATAATTCAATAAAGATATATTGTAAAATTAGAAACAGTTTATTAATTATTTATATGACTGCGTTTTGAATTCGTCACCAATTGATCAGGACTTATGTTTTTAATTGAAAGGATAAAATTTATTGAGATTAAAGTCTACTAATTTTAAACAAACTGATATTTTGGGATACGATGAAATCAGTTGATCACAGATGGTGAAAAAAAAAAAATTAAGAAAAAGATCATAATTCTTTGTTTCTAGTTTCAGAATGTTGCTCAAAAAGTGTCACAACTGGTGTTCAATCTAAATTTTGTACAACTCAATATTTATCAACATTTAGGTGATATATCTTGCCTTCTCTAGAGAAAGTCTTACCAACGAGGATTTTATTATTTCATCGTAAAAACTACGAAAAATGTTGAATGAAGATGGCATGAACTTGGTTCATGATCTATTGCTGTCTTCATAAGCAACTAAAATAGAAATGCTGTTTTTTGACTTAAAAGGGTTTTAAAACGAAAAATCGATATTTTTTCAAAAAATGTCATATTCAAAGTGACAGTTGTAGAGCTTTGTGTACAATCGCAAATGGTTTTAGTCTTACCTTGGTTAGGATGTCTTCGAGTTCTTTGAGCAACTGTTTCAGATGACTTCACTCTTTCGGATTTATTCCCAAGCTATCTGTTTACGTGAATGACGCGTCTGACACAAGGAAAAGCCCTATGTGAACTCTGGCGTCTGTTGAAGGAGAAAATTTATTATTTAAATGACGTGTTTGCGCTACGTCGGAAGAAGCAGATGAAATGAAATGATGATCAAAAGGGGGAGGCTAGTATGTTTCACAATGAAGCGGAAACTGAATTAATGAGATCAGTTAAGAATTACAATTTAATTTAGGTGAAATGGGGAGATGCTTTGTTAAAGAAAAGCGTGGGTTTCTGCCTTCAGAGGCGATCAGAGGTTGAGGGCACGGCGTGTCTTATCAGAGTACTTACAAAGCGGGCGAAAATTTACACATGAATAGCACGTGCGAGTACACGTTTGGCTTTGTTTTCCGAGAGTGTGCAGCTTTGGAAAAATAAAAGCTTTAATAATCAGTGGGAGAAAGACATCTCGTACTAAATGCCGTCAAAATTAGCGCCGGATAATCGCTTTTCTCAATAGGCCGCGTCTCTGGTCATTTGACACTTTTTGCAGTGGGTAAACAATGGCAAGAAACCATCTTAATAAAAATTAAATTAAAAACTCATCAACTTCAACTAGAGAAGTGCGAAACAGGTGAATACAGTAAACTGTAAGCTGCTTTTTCATGTGAAACCCGGTTTCGCAATCTTTCTTAAATACTTGTCCTTATTCCTCAAAGCAAGAGAGATCAGTATCCAACAATATTCTTCACAAACTTTAATAATTGATGCAGTATTGTGCAACGTTTGAAATTCAACGCTAGGAAACTGAATGAAACGGGACTTACAAAAGAAAATTTGACCGAGATGTCCGAAAGTTCATCAAAATTTGCAAAGATTACTCCCGTCTCAAGGATTCGGAAAATCAGTAGTGACTTAAAGCCACAAGATATAAGGCATGAGAAACGTTTTACGTGATGTTTTCGACAGAAAAAAACAGCCGCGCAGAAAGTACGCACAACTCGTCAGTTAACCATTTGTTCGAACTCACAAACAACTCAATCAATTTTCAATTGAGCTCAAGTTAATTACTTCTTGTAAACTTAAAGACTACCTGAACAAAGTTGTCCGATATCGCCAAAGTTTCGCCCTTTTCCGGATTTTGATTCATATAGAAAACAAACAGGGGCATTTATATTAAACAAAAGATAAAACTAAATAAAGTGCATTTACATCAAAAAAGCTTCGACGTAAACACCTGTTTTACAACAAAATGTAATTTATATCGCGAACATCCTTCTCACAAAGTTGTAAAACGGTATTTCGTGAATGAGAGATCTCTACTGAAGCCGCAGAATCTGAGTATTACCTAAACAAGTAAGTAATTCCTATTTCAAGGTAACAAACTCGCGACTGTTTCTCTTTTATCTATGGAAATAATCTACATGAAATGGAGACACCTGACTCTGGTTTTTAGCGTTGTATTAATTTACTTGATCCTTGGGACGCGTTAAAGCTATTAATCCAAAATACTCTCGACGCATCACGCTTCTCTAGAGCTATTTTTCAGTTTATAAGATTCCCACAAACGAATATTCAACATTTCTATATTTTACAATTTAAATCACTTTCTCGGAATTTACTTCGACGTGTTTTCTGATCGATTATAGTTGTTCATTATATGTTTTGGCGCAATTTTTTTTTTCAAACTTAGAAACATTTTTCAACAGGAAAGCGTCATATCCCCTTAAAATCTTTTATTTTACGAATTCTGTAAAGGAACAAACATGAAAAAATTATTGGGTTACCGGTGTTTTCTTTTCTGTCTGTTTATGGTTGTACTAGAATCATGACGAATATATCACACAAGATTACTTGTCAAATTCATTTCGTTTCTGTCATTTATTTGAGTTGCGTAGGACCGTCTCAGTTTCAATAGGATAATAAACTAAGTTCTCTATCGAAAACATCTCTGATCGTTCTTTGCGTGGTGGCAATGAAAGATTGAAACTAAAACATAAAGCTATGTATAACACGCCAACCTATTCAATTGATTTAGAATCTTATAACTTTATTTCTATTACTGGATTCTCTAAATCTGATCACAAATATTTCTAAAAACGGATTTAAGCTTATGCAAAGTTTTTACCGAAAGAATTTATGAAAAAGATTTATTCAGTGATAAATTTTCTTGGATCATTGTTAAATCAATCTAAGGAAGTTATAACTTATTCTTGTATGCAGCTAAAATACATAAAAAACCTTATGTATTTGAACGATTCGTTTCACAAAGTAGAGATCTTAGCATGTGAATTTCCAGTTAAAACAGTTACACTTACACATAGGACAGTCTCTCAAAAAAATTTCGTTTTAGTCAAGAAATGCCATCGAATTTGTGAAACATCTATTTTAAAATCAGCCCACATAGAATATCCAGACAAACAAACAAACACAAACACAGAACTACCTATTTGCTACGAAATCGTTGAATTAAGTTTGAATAAGGTTTAAATTTTGATCACTTTGAAAGTTTCTGTTTAAAATGATTTTAAACTTTTAAAACAAGATAAACAATAAACAAAAATTTTGCAACAAATGATAGTTTTTTCTCCTTTCGAAAACTGTATCAGGATTTAAAAGTATGTCAACAACTGAAAGATCAAGTATCAGAAATATAATCTTTTCCTTCGTATGCCAAAACGGGAGATGTTCTTTTTCAAAAATAGCTTACACAGAAACATCATTCAAGATTTATCGACAAGCAAAATGACATGAAAGGTAAAAATTCACCAAGGTAGAAAATTCTCTCATGTAGACTACTTTTATTATCTAGAAGTTTTCTACTATTGTTACATGGTAAAAACAAAATCAGTTCAAATCATATGTCCGTGTGAGTTTCTTTTTTCTGAATTGAAACTCATTGCATCAATAGATATAGAAAGTAAGTTATATTTTAAAAACAAAATTCAAACGCCGTCTATGTTACTTTCCGTAGGGAATCGAAAAATAATACTTGACATGTTCATTGTGATGCAGTTCCTTTCAGCTTTCTTTAATGTCTGACTTGCTTAAAAAATAAGACAAGTAATTAAAACTACAATTGACAAAGTCTGAAGCGCTATCGGTTGAGAGAAACTGTTTCAGAGAATGACTAAATGTTGGGGTTTATACACCTACCTTGGAGGAAAGTGTTAGTTTGCTCGGTTTAACTGAACAAAGACTGAAAAAGAAAGCGTAATGTGGCATGGATTTTTTTCTTTATCGTATCATTACCAAGAGAGCCTAATTTCTCAACATGCCGGAAGCGAATCGCAATCACAGTGACGTTTGTTGCACAAGATGTGAAATAAATTAACGAGATAAGATCTATTTCAATTAAAAGCTTCCTCATTCGGTCAGCACATTAAGGTCTTTTGTTCCGGGAAAGTAATGTGCCGCTGGGATTAAATGCGAGGCAAATGAAAAGCCCAAATATAAGTTGTTGTTTCGAGTTTCCATTGGTATTACACTGTGGCTGCCTTCGTGTGCCTGACCATTTTACTCTGAAGATGTTTCCAAGCCTTCTCTAAATTAAGCTGTTGTTGGTATTCGTCAAAAGCTACTCCAACCGTCTTCTAAAAAAAAGAAAAACAGGTACAATATATCTTTTGACAGCAAAAATAATTCTCCTTCAAATGATAGCTATGAATATGCCCAGTCGCATCGAATCCAGCCAATTTGTAGAGGTGGCAATCATTGTGCACAGGAAAAAAATTCATATGCCAAGAGCAATGGAATATAAATTAGATTTCCATTATTTAGACAAAATTTCTTACGATGTAGCCAGAGGGAAAGATAGATAAGTAACTAACGACTAAACACAGTAAAAAGCCATTTTTAAGGGCGAAGAAACTGTATCACTGGTTGGTCTTGCTGAATTTTCTTCGTGTATATTCCTTAGACATAGAAAATGTTTTCCGCAAAACTGATTGTTTCATCACTGGAGAAACGTTTAGACAATGTTTTTGCCACAAAGTTTTAAGGACGGCCGTGGATTAAATTTTGGTTTTCCATTAGAAACTGATGACATGAATAAATGCTGAGATCACTATCATAGTTTGACAAAGAGACACAGTTTTCTCAAATAGGGAAAAACTGTTATAGGTTGGACTTAACAAAAATATTCTGAAATTTTATGAGAAAAGAAAAGTTTGTCGTTTTCTAAGTTTAAATTTTTTTTTGAGAATGTATATTTGTTAAAAGAAAATTTCTTATCAAACCACTGAAAAATCAATAAACTCCTCTATACCTTTTTAAAACCGTTCGTATCCAGCACGGGAAGGAAAGAGTGAAAAAAGAGATAAGAATTATTAACTTTCAAACAGAACATCGGTGTGAAAGTCAATGAACAGGAATGGCATAATCTAGGTTTAATTTTATCTTTCATTATCAAGATGACATAATCAATATATGGCTTATCCTTTTAAGACCCTTTAAGTACCTATCGGTGAACATAATTCTCCTCTTCAACTAACCACAGGGATTAAAAATCACTCTGTAACCTCAGTTTTCGTGTCGAGATGAAATTGAACTCGTACATCATGGACAAAAAGAGGCAAACTCCCAAACTGAAACCCACTCATTTTCGTTTTTCGTTTATTTACTACATTGTAATAGATGGTTGTTGCAACACTTTAGATTTATGTTTTCAGAAAATGTATTTTTTTCTTTCGTCGACTCTGTCTTTCTGTTTCACTTAAAAGTTATTGTCAATCCTTGGCCTGTCATTGTGGTTAAAGAAATAGCAAATACTGCCTGCTCACCCAGTATTGAAGCAAAAACTTCAAAAACATTGTAGAGGAACTAATCATCGAGAATACGTTTGCCGTTGGTCATTTAGAGTTTTGAAAAACCTTTTAAAGATAAGGAAATACCTCAGATTGATTTTCCCTCAGTTCATCACATTACCATATGCTTTTCAAAACGTTCCATAAATTTTTTTCACCTTTACAATGACAATGACGCACGTAAAATTCGCCGATATACTGAAAGCTTCGCGAAAAAACATTTGTTATTTCTTTGCGTGGGAGGGAATTTTTTTCCGGAATACGTGTGTACGATTTTAGAGTCCCTGATATTTTCGGTCTCATCTTAACAACAGGTACAAAATTTTTCTTTTTGCAAGGAAAGTGATTTTATAAAATGTTGCTGTTAAGCATTTTCACAACAAAAAAATTTCTGTACTACGTTCCCGGAACAATAAAAAATTTAAGCCTTTTTCAAACAGTCTTGGACAACTTCCTCCTCAAAAAACTACAGCCAAAATTCCCTTTCGTCTTGAAAACCAGAAGACGACTTAGTTCCATTGTTTAAATCAAATTCCATTCTCTGTGACCTGTTCTACGTGTGAGTCGATCATAACTTCATATTTGTTTCTTGTAGATCAACAGAAACATGACCTCGAAGACAGTTCTCCCTCAAGCTGTCATCCTATTAGTCCTGGTCACGAGTCACGTGTGGGCTGCAAAGTATTATGGGAAGCACAAAGAGGTGTGCAAACCGTGGTCGTTCAACGTAGCCGTAGTAGTCGAAGGCTGCCAAACTAGGACAGTTCTTCTGAACCAATGTGCAGGAACCTGTTTCACGGAGCATTCATTTTCCGGCAAAAGCTGTAAATGTTGCAAACCTGTAAAGAAAAGCGCTGTTAAAGTTCCACTACACTGCAAGGACAAAGAGTCTGAAAGTCCTTACCGATATAATCATTCAATGGAACAACATGAAGAGTGCAGTTGTTTTCAATGTTAAGAGCATTAAATGATAGGAGAGATTAACAATACACGTTCTGCCTTGGAACCCGTTTACTGCGTTTATGAAAAATTATTGCTAACTGCTTAACCCTATAACACCACCACTACTACTACTACTACGACTACTACTGATAATAATAATAATAATAATAATAATAATAATAATAATAGAGCATTTTTGACAAGCGTCGTAATTCCAAACCGAGAGAATCACAACAGCCAATCAGATAAAGGAGAATATCTTTAAGAGCCAATGAGAACTCACAATAAAAACAAGTACACCGCCTAAAGCGCGGGAAAGCGCGGGCGACCAAGTCGCGATTAGTTTTGTATCTGATTGCTTGAGAGAGTGGCACGAGTTTTCTGGACTAATCACAGAACGAAGTAATGCAATCCCGAATTACTTTCGACCCTTAGTTGAAAATTTCTTGAATAATAATAATAATAATAAGAGGAATTTAGCAGTGGACAAAGTGGCTCCTTTTGCCCACTGTTTCCAGGTCAAATTGAAATTTTGAAAGTTGGATTTTGTTTGTTGTTATTTGTTTTTCTCTCAGTTGTGACCAATTGGTGATTTCTCCCTGCGATGTCAATACATTGTCACACAATGAAGTGACGAGAGTAAAGAAAACTACTATCTATAATCTAGGATAAACTTTCATCTGAGACAAGATTTTCAACAAGTGTCTTTGATGACTGTCCAAGGAACTTCTTTTGGGATCCTGGAAGTTTACGAGTTGAGCAAACCAAGACCTACAATTCTAGGAGAGAAAAAAAACAAAGATAAAGCACAACAAGAGTAATTCAAAACAAAATCAAATAACAAAAATTATTTTTTCTCAGAGGGCTTGGTAACGAATCCTGCAATCTGATTGGTTCTTTGCGCGGTCCGCATTTTCCGATCTCTGCCCACGGGCAACGATAACGCTTTTGTGAGTCGTCGAGTACATCCCTTACCTTCGCTGCCATTTTTCATAACTATATCTCGTTTTTCCGGCTGGGCAGTATTTTTAAGCAAAGACATCGGTCTCCACCTCAAGCCGATAAATAACTTATTAATCCTCTGTTTTCTCTCTCTCAAATCACTTTGGTTGACAGAAAAATATTGGCTATGAAATGAATTTGTGTACGCAAAAGAGTCATTAAATTGGTTGACAAGCTGCCTAAAACCCGTCTGTAATTAATTCTAATCCTTCACAAAAAGTACCTGGAAAGTTAAAACGTGAGGTATTTGATTAAAGTTGAATTAATCGATGGAACTTTCATTCATTTAATATCTGGATTCTCTCAAACAATTTGTTCATAGCGAAAGGGCGAGCGAAGTAAGTTTTCAGTTCTACAACAAATGTACGCTTTCGGTGAGTCTTCCCAAGTCCGTTCAGTTTGGATATTTGTACCGTAAATTGCACAACAGAAACTGAAGGAATTGAATGAGAAAAAGCTACATTAAATCCCCTTGTGTCTCGTTAAAGCGTCTTATTCGAATTTAGTTTTTGTGGAGGAAAGACCGGATTTACACACGCCATTGCAGTAAACAAACGAGCGAACTCTCACAACTTCAAAATAAAAAAAATGAATTTACTTACAATTCCTTTCCTTGCCATTCACTTACTAAACAGAGGTAAATGAGAGTGAATAATACTTTCCGTAAGATCGTTGACAGCTTTTGAAGAAATCATTGTCGTGACAGTCCTTACCAAACTAGTTCGCTGTTTTTTTCAAAAGTATACTAGTGTTAATCTCTCTTACGCCCTCTCTTATTGACAGGTGTCAGATTGTGACAGATACTTATAAAAATAATGTTCCAAAGTTTGATGGAAGCCTTCTAAATCACCTTTATCGTTACGCAAATAAAAATGTTTCGGTGAAGCTTCTCTCTTCAATCTGCATCACCTCTATTTCAACTACCATTTACTAGCTCAAAAATTGTTCAGTTTATGGAAGATCTTGCTGCAATTACAGCCCTACTTCTGAATTCTGGTGGTCGTAGCGAAGTTTTCAGTTCTACAACAAATATACGCTTTCGGTGAGTATTCCCAAGTCCGTTCAATTTATACAATTGTACTGTAAATTGTACAGCAGAAAATGAAGGAATTGAATGAGAAAAAGCTGCTTAAATACCCTTGTGTCCCGTTAAAGCGTCTCATTCGAATTTAGTTTTTGAGGAGGAAAGACCAGATTTACACACGCCACTGCAGAAAACAAACGAGCAAACTTTCACAACTTCAAAATAAAAAAAATGAATTCACTTACGTACAATAACTTTCATCCCCATTTCCTTAATGAACGGAGGCAAATCTTCGTACATTTGCATAACCTCTATTTTAACTACCATTTACTCGCTCAAAAATTGTTCTGCTAAAGGAAGATCCTGCCGTAATTACAGCCCTAAATCATTCAGTTTCTTTCGGAAAGAATTTCGTCAAGTTAAAAAAAAAATAATAATAAAAATGTCATTCACCAGCCTAGGTCAGTTTGTCCTAATTTAAATGTGCAACTTATCACTCAAAAGTTGCAGAAAATTAGAATTTATGCCGTAGGTTATAAATTTAAAGAAATCATCCAAAACCTGCTGCCTGAATGAATTCGAATTTATTTCTTCCACACTGGCTGTATTCAGTGCAATATTTGAATCTCACGTGTCACTCAGAGTTAGCGTTCATGTGCTCAAAAACTGGGTTATATTGAATGTCAAACAACCGCAGCCGGTCTCTGCGCCTGGTTCTGAAAACATGTAGTTGTGATTAATTTTATTGCAGCGACTATCGTGCAATTTAAACTAGTTAATAAACTATCCAGATGACTCTGGCCAACTATAACTTTCTCTCAGTCGCTTGATGCTTGTTCCAGTTATGATGGAGGCAAAATGCTGGATGAGGTGATTCCCACACAATAATGAAAACTGATAAAGCAAAGTTCGCTGCGTATGATGGGAAGAGACGCACGTCGTCCCATCACTCCTTGCGCAACTTTAACACAAGGCCTCTTCAGTGCAATGATAAGGAAAAAGGGATGCGTCCAAAAGTTAAACAGTTCGACTATCGAGTGTTTTCCGACGCTGTTAAGTTTGGTTTTCGATGGTTAAAATTTTTTCAAAGAAATTTGCAGAGTCGGTAATCTTTTGGTTCCAAATAAATTTTTGTTCTGCGACCTAAAATCGAAAAAATTCCAAGATGTAAAGATTGCTTGATTATAAATTGACCCAGGATAATTGAAGAGTAAACATTTATATTCCACAGTAAAATGTTCTTAATAAATAAACTGCAATGTCGTATATATATTGACTCGGATTCAATAGTCTAGATTCCTTAAATTTCTACCGTTCCTCAATGCCATTTTCAAGGCTTTCTTTTTGATAAATCACCGAGAATTATATTAACCTTTTTAGAGATAGGCTATTTCTGCAATACACTGTGATACACCATAATCTCAACCGTCAGCTTCCGCAAAACAAATATATTCTTGGCCGATCATTCAACGCACAACCGCAAAGTACCATTTACGTCGTCAAAAACGAAGAGATTTCTCTTCGCATAAACACCGCCCGAGAAATAGCAAATCCCCGAGAATAAACATGTCTGTGAAATTACGCAGGCAATTTCGTCGCATTTCCAACAGCACCCGTTGTGTAAGTTACGTTCAGTGGACAATTACATCACAGATTTGGCCCGTAAATAAAATATTACCAGCAGTTTCGCTACACACCGCTGAGGTCACAGAATTCAATAAGAGTCTAAAGCCTTTTCTGCGGAAAATTCAAGTTTCTTGAGGATTTTTTTTTCTCGTGAAATAGTCGCAGTTTTTTCTGCCGACAAAACAATTAAAAGGTAGGTAAAATTTGTTATATTCTGCAGAAATTACATAGGTTTGTATCTGTACGGAATGGATAACAAGTATCTCATGACCGCGAGAAGATTTTTCCGCCAGTTTAAAAACATTTGTCCTTAAATGTACTATGAATTGATTTCCCTTAGTTAATCCATATTTGGTGAAAATATGGTGAAATTTTATTTTTTTTAACTCAAATTTTAACCCGAACTTCTTTATGTTAGTAGTAAAGATGTTTAAGGTCTTCATACGCTGGTGGCAGGATTGTTTACCAAATTGGCGGATCAAAACATTATCAAGATAAATGATTCAGGCAGGACCGTGGCATAATCAAGGCCAGCGACTCGAGTGAAAACAAAAACTTAAGCCAAGTTTTTCAAATGAAAGATTTTTTAATATCATGAATTTGTGTTTTCACCTTAATACTTCACGAAAACGTCAGGCTGTCTCAGCGAGTGTTTTAATTTATCCGAGAAGCTTGTAGACTTCTACTTCTTAGGTGCTAAATGGGGTCCAAACTGTCACACTCTATATTCCAATATAAGCCAGGAATATTTCAGTTAGTTTTTTTACTTTGGTGGCAAAAATGTTTTACCTAGAATAGTATGAAGGCTTTCATTATCTGAGCGTAAATTTAACTTGCAAACATGGATATGTATTTGGAAAAAAAACTGCGCAATATTATACCAAATTTGAACTGCCACCATCCAACTTTCTAACCTCTCGCGAAAATGGCAAAGTTACAGTATTTAAACTGATTTTTTAAGCCAAACTCAGTATCTGTGAAGAGCAAAGATCATTTCCAAAGTAGTAACGAATTGGTCGAACGAACGAGGTTGTTGGGCGTGTCATCTATGTCAACAAACATATCCATATTAAAACTTACGTACCCGAAATAACTTAGGATAAGAGAACTCATTCCGTTTCCCGCTTATTTGAGAAAGCTGTTTGTGCTTAACCTACAACAAAACATTTGATTCTCTTGGATGCATTTCTAACTCCATTTCGATTCCACGTCGCGGAGACCCTTAAATTCATCAAGGGAACACACTTCTATTCTCTCGGGAACTCAGCCCGTTTCCCGCTTATTTCAGAAAGCTGTGTTCTTCACCGTTAACAAAACATTTAATTCTCGTGGATTTATTACCTAACTCCTTCCCGATTCCACAAAGCTTTACGGGAAACCTCAATAAACTTCAGTCAGTTGGATAGAAATAGTTGAAATCAAGAGAGTGATCATATTTTTTTAAGTTTTTAAATGTGCATAATATGTAGACGGTCCTCAACGAGGAAAAGGAGACTTTTTATCTCTATACAATTTCAGTGTGCTGACTATTTATTTCACTTTAAAACCGACACAGAAAAGACGAGATAAAGGCTTTTGCTTCTATCAAATCGTTGTATCAATGATTCATCTCTGGCATATATCATTTGATATCTACCGTTGTCCCTTTAATCTTAAACCAGCAGATTTAATTTTTTCCAAATCCCACTCTGTTTCCGTTTATTTCATTCAAACGTTGTTTCAATGTAGAAATGCTATCCAATCATGCGCTATATTCAGATGTTCTCTAACTAACACGTCCAGGTTTAAAAAATTAGCGATCCAAGGGGAACGAGAATTGATAAACAAGGACATTCAAGGTGAAAATTTATAATAGTAATAATAATAGCACTTTATTTATATAGTGCTTTTTCTATGGCTATACAATATGCCAAAGAGAGAAACAAATATTTCAAATAAACAAAAACTGCTAGAAAATGCCAACTGGCAGAAAGCAGACCAGTTGGCTATTTACACAACGAAGCCGATAGGTAAAACTCGGGGTGTTCAAGGTCAAACGAGTAGCAGGGTTGAGGACTTGAACCTGGGATCACCAGATTACAAGTCCAGCGCCTTTTCCACTCGGCCATGCCGCCTCCTATGATATAACCAATGTTTTATTTCATTTTTTTTTTTTTTACAGGGATGCGTTTGAGTCTCCCGTTCCTTGTGTGCGCTATCTTCGCCTCTTTGCATTACAGCACAGAGGCTGAGCGATTCTCCAACTCCAGATACCTTCTGGGAAGAGCTCTTCTTAGAAGAGCGCGGGAGATCAATGAAACGAGAAGCAATGGTGACGAGTTAGAGGATGAGGTGTCGGAGGAAGAAAGGGAAAGAATTCTGCAAACAGAAGCTGCGGAAGACATATTCGTTGGCTCCGGAAATCACGTGTATGAGAGCCAGGGGAAATCGGAGACTTCCGGCTCTAGGCGTGATGAAACTTCCGGCGATGAAGGCAAACAGGTCGAGGAATCGGGAAATGATGAAGATGGTCCCAATTCCGGTGACAGCGGCGAGGGTGATAAGAGCGATGATGATGAAAGTGATGACGACGACGATGAGGAGAAAAGTGAAGATGATGATGATGACGATGGTACAGAGACAAAAAAAGAACAAGAAAGTTCAGACGATGAGGTTACCAGCGGCTCAGGACTGATTGAAAATGAGAACGCTGCAAGGCGTAGCGAGGACGTTTCCGGTTCAGGCTCCGGAAGTGCGCAACAAGATGATAACTCGGACCAATCGGGGTCGGCAGGAAGTGGCGTTGAGGCGTTGACACCCGCATCAGCATCAGGAGATGAGGCTAGCGGAGTTGCAGTACAGAGCAGTGAGAACAACGTGGAGGAAACTGCCTCAAGAAAATCAGAAATTGCTACAGTTTCTGGAGAAAGTGAGGACGAAGACGATGATAGCGGAAGTGCTGAAGTCATAAAAAAGGGGATCGAGAGCTTGAGCCGACTCTTAACGCCAGTGGCCAGCGGTTATGAATTTGAGCTGTACAGCGGTAGTGCAGCAAAACATGACAAGGAGCAGGAAAGCCAAGCCGAAGGTGAAAGCGAAAAAGGAGAGAGCTCAGATGCAGAAGAAGTCCATGTCAAGCAGTGTAAGAGGGTGTGTGAGGACCCCATGACATACGAGCAGTGCGCAGTTCCTCGATGCGACTATAAAATGGGAACCATCAAGGATTTGTGCATCTATTTATGTAAGCACCAGACCCCTGTGTGTAGACAAGAATGTGAGTAAGGTATACCTTAACAAACCTCATTTTGCAATGTGAATTATTCATAAGGTTTTGTCTCGATTTCATTACGAGGCTCTAAGTGGAAGCCTGTGGAATTTGGCCTTTCTAGGCCCTAGGCCCTGAAGCAATTTGTTTGTTAAATTCGCTATTGAGGGCCTGGGGCCTGAGATGGGGTAAATCTAATGTAATGATAGTGTTATATCGCTGGCTTATAGCCTTTTCATTCTTACTGTTACGAAATTTATCTTCTGACTTTATTAATTCCCATAGACGGATCTCCTAAACTTGCATGTCAAACGTATGCCATTAAGCCGTAGCGTTAGCTACAAGATACAACAGAATAAAACAACTTTCAAAAAATAATAACGGAATTAGCACGGAAGTGTATTTTGAGGGAGTTAAACAAGCAAGATATTGCCTTTTTATCTCCTTTTCAAACACGTCAGACAATTTTCATTAACACAAGCAAACAATTTACAGCAGAACTGCAATTTGAGTGCTCAATATAGACTGCCAAATGGAGCCTTACACTGAATAACGAACGTTAAACTTTTGAGTAAAACACGCTTCGAAATTTGAGGCCGCGATATCTCCGGAGAAGTTCACCATCTTGATAGGTGTAAGCACCAAAGTTTTCCTACAACTTGTTATCAACGGCTCATTTTGCAGCTCACAAAATAAGTGAATTTGGTCGTCTTTTTAAATCAGACGTAAAGGCAAACGAAAAACCCTTGTTACTTAAACAAAACATAATAATAACGGTACTATTCGACAACGCTTGCTCACAAAATAATGAGAGGTAGAAAAATCATTAGTTCTTGAGGCTATGTGCTTAAAATAAAGATAAAAATTAAATATAATCGGTATCAAAACCGAGCTTTGGGTCATCAAACCCACGATCGTTCAGTTTTAAAGTGGTTGCATTCGACAACCACCTGTTAATGTTTATCGGGTGGTCTAAAATATATAAAACCGTCACCCATGGTGGCTCTCTGTAGTTATTGAACGACCTGGGTACAAAACTTTGAAATGATTTGTTGTTTTCGTATGCGAAATATGTAAAAGTAACGCAGTCAAAAACATTGAGGTTTTTTACACCTAGATTTCTTACTTTTAAAGACTAAGGAGTTATCGTTATAATGACTTAAAGACCCTTTGACGGGAATACGTAAATGGTGGGAATACGTAAATGGCGGGAATACGTAAATGGCGGGGATACGTAAATGGCGGGAAAAGACAAACGGCGACAAGCGAACTAATTCTTGGTCCCACATTCCTCTTGTCATTGAAAGAACGAGTCGATCTGGTGACAAGAATGACCCAATAACGGTTAGGGTCCAGGTCTCTTCGATAAATTCCTAGACTTAATTAGAAATATAACATAAATTAGAATACACTACAAGAGGTTTTAGAAATACTCTTGGAAATAAAGTTGTTCAGATTAAGATGCAAGCTGTCATTGTGCCATTTAGGGTTCTTTATTTTCCACTAAGAAAAATAACGGTATTCACTTTAAAAACATTTTTAAAAAATTCCCCCCACCATTTCACAAGTGTTTGGACGCAAGCCAACGGAAGTGAGTCGAGTTCATCAGATCGAGGCTTGCGGAAATTTTTTTCTGCAGGCGTAAAATGGATGAAATAAGCTTAAAAAGTCGAGAATTGACTTTTACGATATGACTTCTTGTGTCTTCTAATTAGTTCTATCCAGAAAAGCTACTTAGTTATGAGAATATAAGTAAAAACAATGCTCACGAAAGAAGAGCTTGTTGCTTTACAGTTTTTCGCGTTTGAGATTTATCAGTCAGCCTCAAACTTGAAAATTAAATCAAGTCATTAATATCAAGTCTGCAAATGGGCCATGGAAAATGGGAACATTTTTAGTAAGATCGAAGTTATAAATAGCTTTCAGGGCTGTAGCTATATTAAGAAAATGTAATAAATCTTTATGTCAAATAAAATATGTCGTTCAAATATTAATCGGTGTGTATATTACTGGTTAGCTCATGATTTTTAAAACAAGCAACTAAGAGAAGGAAGAAGAAGAGATGGCAGTTTGTTTAGTCACAAGAAAGCGCTAGGTTGCTCAGCAAGATTCAAAATGTTGGCGTCCGCTGTCGGCATTTTTTAATAAATTTGAAACCGTTTTGGAATAGAATAGGTTAGGTCACACTTTGGAGTCTCAAAAAGTGGTCAGTGTCACATGGTTTCTCTGGCACACTTCTTATTCCCTTCTGAAAATGGTGACTAATCTCGTTGAGCATTATCGGACGTGAGGCAGGAAAACCGGGTCTAGGGCATGGGGTCGAGGGTTACTTTTCTGGCATAGTTCCTGGATTAATTATATTGAAGCGAGAAATGGCTTTCAGTTTTGAAATTTCTAAGCTTTTCAAGTTATTTTCTAAGAGACTGAAGTTTAAAAAATTAGAGAAAGGTCAATCTAAACGAGTCTAATGAAGAATTTTTCCTGAAAGTTTCTTAGTGTCCTAGCCCCGACCTGAAATCAAAAGCTGGCTACCTCAGAGGCAATCCGCAGCTCATTTAAGGATTTGTCCCAATATGTTCAATATTAAAGCTACAGAAATAGTTTTCCTGACGAAAAATGTTCCGGGTTAGATGTAAATTTATCTGTTGCGTGAAAAAAAGAATGAAATCGAATAAAAACAACAGCAACAACAACAACAAGAAAACAAACAAATAAAACTTCCACGTTTCTATGTTTAAATTTGGGTATGACGTTTAATAAATTTATATTCCTTCAAATAGCTTTCAGTGTAACATTAACAAGATTTGTGCAGGATCTATTTATTCAACACAAAAACCTCTCAATTTAACGCAAGGACCAAAAAAGATAGGTTTTCATACATCAGGAGAAACTTATCAACTTACATTAAATTCCGCTCTAGGTTAGTCTTAGTTTTATTTATCATATAATGTCCTCTATCTTAAATCGTCCGAAATTTATGTTACACATGGGAAAATTCTTTAGAAAACTCATTACCGTTTGAAACTAGTCTCTCATTGATCACTGGTTCTTGAATGCTCCGCAGGCGATCATCGCTCAAATACTTTTCACCGTTTCCTCTTGACATTAAAGATTTTGAAACTGGGTTAAAAGGTTTCACAACCAATTCCTTTGGAATTGCGTTCACTGTGAAAGTTTTCCAACGTGACCCTGTTGACTCAGCGGGCTCTTTCATCATTCCATATTTGCTTCCTTGAGCTGACATGACATTCATTGTAGATACCTCAAACTCTGTATCGCGTACTCCTGTAGCTGTAGTTGATGCTTTACTATGGATGATAGTATCTGTCGTTGAAACTGGCATAACTGTAGCCGTTGATTTTATAACTGAAGGAGAAAGAGGACCATTTTGACCTAGATGGGGAGAGCAAAAATCATAAATACTCAATGTTTGAAATAATTTGTTACAGTATTGCGCAAAGGTGGTGAAAACGAAATGCGCGAATTTCGCTCATTTTCGAGAAGTTACACCACGGGAAAAATGCACTATTTCTTCCAGTTCTCGTGACAGAGCGAAGTTTTTAGTTTGCTTTGTAAAGCGTTTATTCATTGACCGGTGCTCGAAAGTTCGCTCAAGAGAGTCAAAAGCATTCTTCGAGTGATATTATGATAATGTACTTAAAATCCAAACTGGATCTACAACATTGGCGAAGGACAACCACTCACTTCCAACGGTTTCAGGTGGCGAAGTTTCTCGGGAAGATACGATCCCAGCATTGTGTGCCTCGTTTTTCATCGGTACCAAAGAGAAAAAAGGTTTCAAATTTTCTTCACGATGTCCCAAACTTTGAGCCCACGACACAATGGGACTTGATGGGCTTTGTGGAAATTGTCCCGGAAATCCAAGGCCTTGAGCATTCGATAGACCCACCACTGAACCTTGTTGCATTTGTGCAAACTGATAAGCATTGTAAAATGGTGCGTACAGAGTAAAGGGCATGTGAAGTGGAGTTTGTAAAGGGACAAATGGCATTGGTGTATACAGCGTAGGATTCAAAGAGCTACTGACTGAGGAAGAAGCAGGTAGTTGATTCAGCTCTGTTTTTGTTGAGGATGGGATGTGACGCTTGTTGTCTGACTTCTTGGAGGAATGCTGCTGTCTTTTGACATGAACTAACAGATCTAAAAATTAAAGAAGATCAGGAAAAAAAATTGGTAGCTGTATTATAGAAGAAGATGAAGTTAAAATTGAAGATAAGGGTTTATTTTTGTTTGCTTGTGTCACACTAGGATTTTCCTCATTCCCCCCTTCCTAAACTCTCTATAGTGTTTTAATGTACCTCCCTTAAACTCTGTTCGCAACGACTGATCCCCAATCCGCTCCGCCTGAAATCTAAGTGATCCCCCAAAAATCCTCCCCCCTCAAAGGCGATAAATAATGTTCTGGTCCTTTACTAAACATTTTTTCTATAGAAGCAAGATGGAATTAAAGATAAGATAAGAGGAACTTACCTTGTCTTCCCTTTCGAAAATAAGGATGTTTAAATTCGCATTTTGAATACAGCGAAAACGGAGATGATGTCGCCCGTTTTCCATATTCTGTGACTTTTCGGAACCCGTACAAGTTCAATTGACGGACAAAACTCGCAAAGTGTTTTGTCTTGAAAAGTCCATTGGATTTATTGTTTAGAACCTCAGAAATGAATCTCTGAGTGTTCGGAATAACAAGGCATGTTCCTTGGGCATTCCAGTGAATTTCGTCTCGTTTAGGATTATTAACAATCCACCATAGTTTCTCTGGAAAAGCCAGTAAGGTATAATCCGATTGCCTGTCTGGTACTAAATAAGAAGAAACTCTCGCCATTGAAAATTTTTTCAGTGAAAAGAATCTTAGCTGTACGTTTCTAATCCGTTGTTTTCGTGTTTCCATGGAATTCTTAGGATTCTAACATGACGTATGAATGGCTCCGCAAAAGTAGCTGTGATTGGATAAAACTGCGCGCGTGCGTAGTGATCAATGCTGATGCGTTCGAAAAAAAACCATTTTTTTAAAATGAATGAACTAGATCAACTTTTGAATGAATCGATTTTGCTATTGATTCCGGGCTCTTCGTCTGTTGCTTTCGGAAAACTTTCCATATGCGAAAAATGATCATTTTTGTTATGTACAAAATAAAGATAATCGAGGTATTTGAAAGTCTTATCACTTATGCACTTAAATGGCTTCCAATCTTTGAAATGTGTCGGTCAGTAGGAAAAAATCTCAGTATGACTGAAATAAATACTTTATACCATGGAAGGTACTCAAAAAATTTTTATTCACTCGTTACGACGCATCAAGAAGTCACTCACCTTTTTTTGATGGAACATGTTTTGTTCGTTCATAACAGCTTTAGATGTAACCTTAAACCCCAAAGCAAGAGTAGAATAATCTCCTTCAGTTTCCCGCCAATTTCACTCTTGAGCTGTGCAAGGCTTTGTGGGTATCATCAGCTTGTGTGCGCTGCTTGCCGGGAAATCGTCGTATCCGCCATCATGCCACCGAAGAAAAAAGCAACAAACGAACCATCGAAGAAAACCGATCAGAAAAAGAAAGAAAAGATAATCGAGGTATTTGAAAGTCTTATCATATTCTCGGATAATACAGCTCGTCTTCTGTCAACTTATATTTGTGATCTTTGTCCATTATAGGATAAAACTTTTGGTCTTAAGAACAAGAAAGGCAAGAAACAGCAGACCTTCGTAAAACATGTGACTCAACAGGTTTGCGGATTTATTTATTAATTTTCATGTTTTCCGGTTCTCTAATTGTCTAATGGTAACGCTTTATCTTTTTTTCATAAGGTGAAATATGGTGGAAATCCCAGTGCGAGGAAGGTATGTGTTACACACCCAAAGAGAAGGCACTTAAAGTTTAAAATTAAACACATGTACTGTACGTATAATTTTATTTTGTGCTTATCCGAGTTTTTATGGCTAGTTTCTGAAAGTCTTTACTTTGGAAAGCAATGAATACTGTATGAACAATATCACTCAGCTATGATGAGATTGGTTTACATCAGTGCGACATTATTAAAAATATTGTAAACTATTCAATAAGCTCACTGTGATTCATAATACGTAGACCTGATAGAACAGTTTTACTATCAAAAGAGAAATTAAAATTAAAAAAGTTGAAATTTTTATGCAAATTTTTCTTGATTTTTCTTGACTTTTTAACATTTAAGTTGAAGTTGCTATAATGTTACAAAGTAACAAAACAGGATTGTTTCATTTCAACTTCCTTTATTGGATCTCTTAATTAGGACCTGTGCCATGATTGGTCAAATTAGAAAGCCATATTTCACTGTACTGTACAGTTCACTAAATTCAAAAGTTTGTTTGAATGAAATCTTCCCCCTTCTGTTTGAAACCACAGATATAGGAAATATCATACTAACCCTAATTTCTCAGTCTGTACTGTAAGTTACAGAACCTTGTATGGCTGGCATTCATTATGCTTAGGCCAGAAATCCACATTGGCAATGCTCAGTCTGTAATTTACTGAACAGACCTTTAACTCACTTAGTTAATGGTATTTAAGCTCATGTGATTAAGTGTTAGGAAGCTTTCATGTTCACCTGCAAAGACATCCTCTCTTTGATTAATGGCCAAAAAGTGCCCAGTTTTGTCATATTTTTCAACTTTTAGATTGGGTGGATTATTTGCATGTGAACATTGATGATTATTGATAAGGGTAATTTAGTATTAGCAACTGATTTGATAACGTAAATTGGCCACTGAAAGAGTTTCAAAGGTGAAGTTTTTACAATTAGCCCTTCATCAGAGGAAATGAAGAAGGGATAAACTCAAAATGTTAGCTTTTAAACTCTTTATGGTGGCCAAATTACATTATCAACTCAGTTAATAATACCAAATTACCCTGTTATACTCTCCCACCAATGCAGTACCACAGTTTCTTTAGAAATGTACCCCCTCTATCGATTATTAATTTATTTATTTTCTTCCCTTTTAACTTTTTATTGTGAAGCTTGCCCAAGAGCAGGACAGCAAGGTACCTGTACATTTTTCTCTTGCAAGTCATAAAAACAGTATATAACACTTAGACATAGCACTTTTAGGCCAAAAATTTCACACGTTTGTACCTTTTTTTGGTTAAGCATTAATAAACATAAGTTTTGCATGTGAGGGGTGTTGAATGAGTCATGGAATCTCTTGTGAGTGCTGTTTGTAGGTATAACTTAAGAACGTCATTTCAGTAGCAGCAAAAAGGACCTCATTACAAAAATCTCTTTTTTAAAAATAGTAAGAACATTCACTCAAGGGACAGTGATGACTAAAAAAAGTTTCCTTAGAATGAGAGTTCCAAATGCATTGTTTTTTGGTGCAGACTACAGTTTATGTCCCATATATGGAGATTTCTAGAAAGAGAGGCTCATCTGTCAAGGACATCATGCAACTTTGGCAATAACTTTTTTTAAAATTGTTATTTCAGAAAAAGATTTCAGAACAGAAAAAGAAGGAACAAGATGATTTAAATCAGCTTTTTAGGCCTGTTATTGGGCAAAAAGTGTCTGCAGGTAAGTTTAGCAAGATTTAGACATCAGAAAACATTTTACTGTTACAAAAACTGTCACAGAAGGTAGTGATCAGAATATTTTGATTAGCTCAGAGTCAGAGAATGCATTAGAATGCATAATACAATGCTGAGAATGACCATTAAACCAATGACAATCTCTAAGCAAGGTGGTTTCTTAGATTTTATCATGGTACATCAACAGGTGCTGATCCCAAGTCAGTAGTGTGTGCATTTTACAAACAAGGCCAATGTTCCAAAGGTGACAAGTGTAAATTCTCTCATGATATCAGCTTGGACAGAAAAGGGGAGAAGAGGAGTCTGTATGTCGATGCCAGAGACGTAGAGGAGGATGAGCTCAAAAATGGTGAGTAACTTGGCAGTAATCAGTTTCAAATGTGCTGGAACTGACAACTTTGTAGCCTGGAACCATCTGTCCTTAAACCTAAGATACTGAATGATACTTTAAATGGTTGAAATTGATATCAGCTCTCAAATGATGATTTTTATTGAAAGCAGATTAGGATATGGATTGAGTGAAAATGAAAGTGATCATTGCAGTTATGAACAATATTTAAGCAGTCGTGAAAATAGGGCCTGAGAAAAGTTCAGACCTGTATGAGACTTGAATCCATGACCCCTGTGATACCAGTACAGTGCTCTACCAACTGCCCTAATGAGCCTATTGGGAGCTGGTCTTAATGTTGGTTCCAAATTATGTTTATTCACTTATTTGTCCATGGTTTTCCACATATGATTTTCACATATTCACAGTCATTGATATGGATTAAGTTGAGCAGAAGAGAGTTCACTTTTGTTTAAGGATAGTCTAAACCAAGTTTGTGTTAATCCTGGGCTATGGTTAACTGTTCTTGACCGAGAGGCCCTAGGGTATTAATTTTTTTGTTCTCAAGGAGTTTTTTGGTTTGAAATAGCTCTTATAGACTTTGGCATGATCATTCCTTTTTTCAGATACCATGGACAAGTGGGATCAAAGCAAATTGGAGGAAGTTATTGAGAAAAAGCATGGCGAAAAGGAGAAGTCAATGCCCAAAACAGAAATTGTGAGTTAAAATTTTTATTAGTTATCAATATTACATTTGTCTAAAATATACTTGTGGCTGGAGAAGGAGCATGGCCAATTGATAGGTTAGCAGCTTGAGTTTCAAGTCCTGCTCTGACTGTAGACTGGCTGAATTTGTCTTTCTCTGCACCTCACACACAGTTGTAAATTAATTGCTAACAGGTATCATCAAGCACACTGGAGTTTAAATCATGTTTTCAGGACTGCCAATCTGGAATAGTTTAGTTTCTTTCTGTTATGAAGAGAGTAATTAATTGTTACCTGAATCTGTCTGCCTTCACAATAATTTTGCAAACCTGTATAGATGTGTCTTTGAAACAATGCATTTAGTATTAATAGTTACTGATTTCAGTTGATAATTTTTTTTATATATCTATAGACATTTTTATCTTTTATGTAACTTTTTGTAAACTAAATTCTGTTTTACCCTTCTGTTGTAAAGCAATATGAACACATGGTTAGTATGTATTATTATTAGTATAAGTATTATTATTATTATTATTATTATTATTATTATTATTATCATTATCATTATTATTATTATTTTAATCAAACATCCATCTGCAAGTTGTGAAAACTTGTGTTTTAAGTGGTAAAATTTTCAGTGATGTCATGGATTTTTGTAATATATTCCCATTTTTTCTCTAATTTTTTGTTCAGGTCTGTAAATATTTTCTGGAAGCTGTTGAGAAAGGACTCTATGGTTGGTTCTGGAGTTGTCCAAATGGACCAAAATGTATATATAGACATGCACTGCCACCAGGCTTTGTGTTGAAAAAGAAGCAGGAAAAGGAGATAAAAGACGAAATATCATTTGAGGAGTTCATAGAAACAGAGGTGAGCTGTATTTCTTGATTTCATTGTAATTTTCAGAGAACAATCTCTGGAGTGGTATGTTCACAATCTTTTGCAGCGTTCTCCCTTTCCTAAGCAGTACTGGTAAGATAAATTTTCAAATGGACAGAGCAACACTTTTACTTATTGAATTTCAAGAATTCTAAGTGATTTTAGGCAGTAATGAGAGGTCCTGCAGGAGGTAATTAATTTTACCTGTTACTGTCTGTAAAGAAGAACACTACCTGTGACATGTTTGATTTGAACATTTGAAGTCAATTTTCCATTTTTAATTGTTGTTATTGTTATTGTTTTTGGCCTTTAGAGAGCAAAACTTGGTGGAAATCTGACAAAGTTAACATTAGAAACATTCCTCGAATGGAAAAAGAGAAAGGTAGGTGATCCATGTTGAATTTTGCTTAAAAGCTACAGTTATAATTTTAGTACATGTAATTACAGTGTGTGTATTAAGAATGGAAAAATCTTTCTTGAATGTGACATTTCATTCCCTTTTACCAGTTAAAAGAAAAGAAAGAGAAATTTGAAAAAGAGCAAGCCAAGAAAAAGGATGACTTTAAGTCTGGTAGAATTGTTGGAAAGGTAAGATGTACTGATAACTTTTGGACACACAATTGGCAAGTGATGTAGTGAGTGTCCACCCTTGCACTCCCAAGATCTCAATTGTAATTCTCATCGCTGTCCACCATAGGATTGGTATGATGTTAGTTTGAAAGATTTTGGGAATATGATCAACTAACAATCCCCCAACTGATATTTTTCTTAATTCCTGTCATTTGTGTGTGTCATATTGTACTGATATGTAATACTTATTGTATTGTATTGAATTACTAACTGTAATTCTCATCACTGTCTACCATACAATTCTCATGGTGCTACTTTGGAGAATTTGGAATTGGATCAACTAATAATCCCCCTAACTGATATTTTTCCTTATTCTCATCACTTGTGTGCATCATATTGTACTGATATTGTAATGAGAAATTCTATCTTGGTCTGACTCATAGGAGTTAAAGGGTTCAGGAGTGATGACCTGTATTTTTGCTTCTGTAGGTGAGTGGTCGTGAAGTTTTCTTGTTCAAACCTGAGCTGGTGGAGGCTGATGCTGATGATGATGAGGCTACAGAAGATATGAGCATTTACAGACGAGCGGATGATGGGGTAAGTAGTCTTTTGTGATAAGTCATTTACATTGACGGAAGTAATGTTTGCAAAAGAAACTTAACTTGAATTGAAAAGGGTAAGTTTTTAAAGAAACTGTGCTGTGGTTTCCGTGGGGAGTATTACACGTTATCCTTTACACTCTAAAATCAGTATGCATATTCTCCATACTGTTCTCTATACATTTCCTAAGGTGCTGACAAGGAGAATTTGTTTACCAATCAAAAGCTAATTGTTTACCAATCTTTCTTTGGTGATCATTTCCTTTATTCTCATGACCTCAATGTGTGATTCAGGGCTGATATTGTAGGGAGAAATTTGATGCTAGTCACTCTTAGGGTTTAAAGGGTTAATATTGTTTTGTCAATTGAGTTGTTAATATGAATTGGCCACCGTGAGGATATTCTGACGTTTCGAGCTCTGACGACGGGCAAATGCTCGAAACGTTAACTATAGAAACTCCTACGGTGGCCTATTACTTTATAAACTCAGTTGTTAAAACTAAATGATCTTGTTAACCCCTTTCCCCTTCCCCTACGTCAGTGTCACAGTTTCTTTAGAAACTTAACCCTCTCATACGAGACCCAGCTTTCTGCTCAGGAGAGCGTTTGGTAATGGCGGCACTCGTTCCTCTTTAGAATCTCTGAACTTCTCTGGTTTCTCTTTTGTTAGGACGAAATTGGTGAGGGTGCACCAGCCAGAGAGATAACGTTGGAAGAAATGAGCAGTGCCGCAAAGGAAGTCGACGGCACTGGTACAGTAGATGTGTCAAGTAGCGCTGCTGAGAGATTAAAAACCAATCAAGCCACTAGCGAAACTCTCAACGAAAATTCCGCTCAACAGGTGACTGTAATTCTTCTTTGCTCTTTCATGAATCCAAAAGTAATTGGTCAATTTCAATATAGGCTTAATATGTCTGACGCCAATTCTCAAACGTCCAAGATTTTGCTGATATATAATGTTTTCAGGGCGCTCTTTAACCTCCAGTTCACCCCTATAATTCGCGAAAGAACTTTGCTCCTCTTTGAATACGCAGCTTTCCTTTGTTTTTTCTCTCTCTTTGTTTACACATTTTTGTTTTGTTTTGTTTTTTTCGAAGTGTAAAATACTTGCTGTTCCTCACCTGCCCCCATCACAAGAGCTTCATCCCGAAAGTCGTTTTCCCCCATGCAGCGACTTGAACGAAGCTGATGATGACTTTGCTCAGGTTGTAGAAACATTAGTGACTGCATCGGAAAATAGTCCTTTTCAGGACCACCCTCCCTCTTTTCTCCCCCCCCCCTTCAGGAACCCAGATAAATTATTGTTTGTTTGATAGAAAGTAGATTTTTTTTTGTTTTTCATTTATTTACCCCTCAGACACCCGACACGAGTAACGCCGATGAAAACGGTCTCGACGAAGCTTGCGGCGGAGCAGACTCACCGGAAGGAGACGTGGACGCTGCCCTCGTTAATGGAGTACCTATTGAGGAGAGTTTGTTCGAGGAGGACGATATTGACGACCTAGAGCTTGAAGATCTCGAAATTGTCGATTGACGACGTCATAAAACTCTTCAAACTTCGAAATCGCTGAGAACCATCACTGCTGGATCCGGAAATCCTATAGAATCTCCTTGAAGGCATTATCTGGCAGTGATTACATAATGGTCAACAGAGCCTGGCAGAAATAAATTGTTTCAATGAAACTTAGCAATTTGGGAATAGACATCTGTAACAGAATTCGAATCTAGTACTTTTTCCCTTTGGAATGAAAAGGCCTGGGAGCTAATAGGACTTGTACCCAGGACTTCAGGTTTCAAAGATAAAGGTTTGGGAAGACTGCCATCTTGAAAAGGGGCCATCGGAATGACTACGGCCAGCTACACTGAATCAGTTGATTTACATTCCATCACCCGGCCCTGTCTCGAAAATGCCTACTAGGACATTCTCAAATTTAATGAATCACATGTTAACTAAATGACCAACATTCTTTTACACGAACGCGTTTGAAACGCGTTCAATTGCGAGGCGACTATGATAAATACTGTTATTTTTGTAGCCGAGAGGAGAGAAAAGGAGGTCGATGAAGATAATTTCATTAACTGCGTTCCTTCAGTGATACCGAAGGGAATTTTAAACGCGTCTCCCTCTTAATGAAATTCTTGCAATAAATGATCTCTAAACAGAATTAGTGTTTTTTCTGTCTCTCTCTTAAATAGTTTGGAACAAACTCCTCATCGAATTTAGAGGTTGTTCACTGCAGTTCATCCGGATGTAATATAATAAAGGCAAACCTTGTTCAAAACACATCTTTCTTCCCATAAACATCCGACGTTTATTATCCTGTATTAGGACTTCAGGAGCGACTTACTAAAAGGGAGCGTTTACTTGGGGTGGAATATTTCGTAAAGTCAGTGGTAACGTCATGATAACTGTTCCTTCGCTTTTGTTGTCGCACCAGACTGGTATATGCCCGGGAAAGGAAGAATGGGTTGAAATTTTTTGTAGGTCTCATAAGCTAAAGTTGACACTGATCGCCTACTTTTTTCATCGATTTTGTTAGTGTAGGGCCCTTTTGTAAAACATTATGCTCCTCAAGGAAAGGTTTCCTGAAAAAGGGTGCGAAAGCTCCCCTCCCCCCCCTCCCCAACCCACGCTGGAGGTTTTGTGCATCACTGACAGAAACTGTTCACTAAAACAGAGCGTTTATTTTAAACTGTTATTTACAATTTAAATTATATTCGCTATAATTTTTTTTCTGAAGATTTGTTATTGTTGAAGTTGTATTTGTTCATGGTAGAGGGGGCGGGATAACTTCTTTTGATATTATCAATGTCTCTTTTTCAATAAGCGTTTGGAAAATTCAGTGAAAGAGGAGATTTTGTGCCACCACCATCTCAACTTCGTACCAGGAGGGGCAAGAGAAGAGCCTTGGAACGAGATTTACGCGGATCAATATCAGTATCTGGGCAACTGCCCACCTACCCCTCTCCTAACCCAACATTAGCCTTAACTTGTTGTCAATTGACTGTTGTTGAGTTAGGGGAGGGGTAGGTGACCAGTTGCCCAGATACTGATATTGATCCATTTACGCTATCTTATTCGGCCTTTAGTCTCAACCGAAAAACAATAATGGTCCTATCTTTGAAGGGCGCACTTTTTCTTATCCCAAGTGTGTCCCCTGAATTTAATATCACTATCAATAGCAACATTAACAGGTCGTCACCATAACAACCGGCATCTGCGAGTAAAGGTGGTCCTTTGTGTCTTCTGTGTTTTTATTAACATCGCTTGTGTCAGACTCGAGAGACATCAGCGCCTCAACATCATCACTGTCCCTGTTTTTACACGCTGCTCTATTCAAATGATAGGCAATCTGCCCATCCAGAACAACTTCTTTGGCGGATTGTCTACGCGCGGAAATCTTATCCTGTTCAGAATCAGAGTTTTGCGACTGGAAGGAAGTCCTTTCGATTGCATTGTTCTTCATATTAACACTTGATATGGAGTCTGCTGTCTCTTTCTCCCGGTCCTGGTCATAGCTTTTCCTATAAATCAATGGAATTGTTAAAAAATTACACGGTGAACAAGTTTGGCTTTCTCTCGATGAGTTGGAACAGAAGTTGCTACTGTTACTTCTCATACTCTCGTTGCGGCTTCTGTAAGAGCTATGACGGCCCTCGTTACGAAAACTGCTCTTTGGCGATACTCCAGGCGAATGGTGCGGTGACCGAGAGGAGCTGAGACTTATTTTACTTCCGGTAACTCCTCGGGACGAGTTCGGTAACGTCTCAAGTTGATCTCGTAGCTTACCGCTTAATTTTTCTACCGCTGACTTACAAATACCAAGACGGTCTATGATTTCCAGTGCGTCCATCTGGAAGTGTTTCGTTCCTATGGCGTAGAGATAAGGGTTTGTGAAGGAGTTGATTGGGTAAACGAAGATCAAGAAAAACTGCGCTGTTTTCAAATCTATCAAAGTTGTTCCATAAACAGCTACAAGACTGACAAGTGCAATTGGAAACCAGCATGCGAAGTTTGTAATCACAAGCATCGCCATTCTTCGGGCAACGCGACTCTCCACACGGTCCACGCACGCGCCAGGCACAGATCCTCCGAGACTGCAGTACATTCTACCGTAACAAAACAGCACGAAGAAAAACGCCATTCCATTCGTTGATAAAAGAAACGTAACGTAAACTTTTGACAGAGTGTTTTTCACATCAAATGGAAGACATATTGCCACCTGTTGATAACTACTCACCCCTACCAGCGGCAGGATTGCCATTGTCAAAGAAAACGTCCACCCCACCCCTATGAGTATAATAACCTGCTTCGTATTCAAATGTTTGTTAACCTTAAGAGGATGGACGATGGTGAAGTATCTCTCCACAGTGATGATCGTCAACACAAAGACAGAGAGCTCTGTGGAGAAAATCGATACAAATCCGGCGATTTTGCAACCAGTTCCGAACTGCCACCGCATAGCGAAGTTTTGGTATTCGCCCAAGGAATACATATCGGCGCTTATGATCATCAACAAAAACACAGCCATGCAGAGGTTTGCAAAAGCCAGGTTACACATCAGGATCCTGGTGATGGAGATTTTGCGTTTACTCAGCAACAGAACAAATAGTTTGAACGAGTTCCCGAAGAGAGCGAGGACCAGCACCACCCAGGAAGAAACGCGCAACGCGTTCGTAGCCAGTAAATCACCGCACGGGTTGAACGTGTCATTTTTTTGCTCTGAAACGCAAGTAAACGGTGCATCCGTCGACCCTGTCGGGCGAGTGTTAACATTTTTGGTCCCATCGTAGCATGATTCAGTTGGAATTTCCGTGTTGTTGCGTTTTGGTCCGACGATACCACCAAAGGGATCTGTCGTGGTTGGACGTGCTGTAGTTGTCGTTCTATTAGCTGTCACATTACACGGCTTGACGGTAGGAGACGATGAAACACTCGATCTAGTGGCCATCACGTTACGCGAGTCACGTTTAGTCTTAATGAGACAGCAATGAAAGGCGTATTCCACACTTGCTGTGTCTAGGTTGTCAAAATGGACGATTGGTATTTCCCATAGCTTCCGTGCTCCTTTGATTGTGAGATACTTCAAGAACTCAAGCCCATCACCTGGCAGATATTTGATCCCAGTTTCTTGCAAATTTCTGCAAAATAATCAAAGAAACTTTTCACCGTGTTGTACAAATATTTAGTTACCCAAATTTTCTTAACTAGGCATAGACAAGAGCCCATTGCTGGCTTAGGGTGTATTATTGCCGTAAAAACATCTTTGACAAATTTTAAAAAAGGAAAACCTGCTATTTTTCTAATAAGCGATCAAATAAATTTAAGTTTCTGACCGAAATGTCCAGCTATAACAAGAGAATAATGATTTAGTGATACCCATTTAGAAAATTTACAAGGAGTCCCGAGTGTTTTTTGTTGTTATAGAAGGGGAATTTTTTTGTTAATGAATTCGCACCAAAGAACAATGAAAAGTGAACATCCCAAGCAGTAAACGGAACGTTAATCGTGTTAGAGCCTGTTTACATGGAGGTGGGGAACCCCAGGTAGGTGACGTAACCCGCCTAGCCGCAGTAGAAAAATAAAACGCGTTTACATGCACTCTTCAAACTCCGGGGTGCTGGGGTGAGGTTTCTTAAGGTTGTTGTTGCGCTTGCAGGGAGTTTGAGCGTAGGCGTCCCAAGCTCACATCTCAAGAAAGACGAAAGATTAATTCTCGGACATGTATGTATTTATTCATGAAAGCGTCACGCGTTATGTTACGCGGTGTTAGGTTAGACTTAATACGTTATAAGGAATGGTTTGGGAAACGAAATATGGTCGATTTACAACGCTAAATATTCCGAAATGTGAACATTTTACACTCCTTGTGTGTCCGTTGCGGTTTCTGGTGATTTCTGTCATGAGACGGTTTGGAAATGTACAAAGTTTTAAAACATACGTGTTCAGTTCTTGAACTTTTTGCAATGAACGCGACCCCGGCTAAGCGGGTTACCTCGCCTTGAGACGTTTACATGGCAAATTGTCACCCCGGCTGACAGGGTCACCCCAGCTGGCAGACTGGGCAACCCGCCTTGGCGGGTTACCCCACCTATCATGTAAACGTGATCAGATAAAATGAGAGATTATATGGAAAGGCGGGCTACCCCACTTAGGCAGGTTACCTCACCTACCTGGGGTCCCCCACCTCCATGTAAACAGGCCCTAAGAGGAATAAGCGCACGCTAAGCATGAACCAATTCTTTAATATCCGTGCAGAAATATCCGTGCACATTGTTTACGTTTCATTTTGTTATTGCTGGTTGATTTGTTATTGTCGTTGTTTTCATTTTGCCTGTTCCAAACGGTGTCTCGTTCTTCTTACGAAGTATACCTGAGAAAACTCTAACAAGGCAAATCTTACAACCAAACATTTATAAACCCAACAAGTTCAAACAGGTTGCATTCGGTTTCTTATCCGTAATGCGCCGATCAATTCGAAGCTTCAACATCCCCCTCCCCTCCCCCCCTCAAAACATATGAACTTTTGAAGAATGGTTCGTTCATATTCGCGTCCTTTGGGGCCAAAATTGTGTTCAAATGCTCCACCCAACTCCCTGGTTTGATCGTAAATGTTCCTTTTTGTAAAGGGCAAGATTAGCAATCGTGATCTTCTTTTAGATCTTTTCTTTTGAGCCATCTGCTCACGAAAGTGAACTTTTTACCCTCGAACACTTTTATTTTAAAAGATAAAGAGACAGTTCGGATTTAAATTCCCCACCCTACCCCACCCAAGCAATGCCCAAATTTCACATCCTGCGTGCACAAATCACAGTTAAATACCGTGGGCTGCCTAGAGAGGGGGGGGGGGGGGGGGAAAGGGGCAAAATGTAAAAGCTCCGAATTAATCGATGTATTAAGATATTTATGTATCACATCGAAACTTACAACTCTATGAGCTGTGGTCCTTTGAAAGCCTCCGGACGTATTTCTTTCAGATTTTCTCCTATGAACCTTCTGTTAACAGGGACGAGATAAGAAAATTATATTACATGTGGAGGGGGGGGGAGAAGGGGGAGTGAACTGGAATCAGTTTTCCTGAAGTCACCCCACCCTCCTAACGAATCTCAGCCATAAATATTTGAAGGGAGATTGTCTGCCAAAGGCAGAATTATCAATGTACTCTTTTGAATTAGAATCATTGAAGAAGTTTACTAAATATGCCCCATGGCCTTCCGTGGCATTCTTTTTTTCTTTTTTCCACCTTTGTTGAAAGACTCGTTTTTTCTCTTTTACGGAGGAAAGAATTTAACTTTCTTTCAGTACTCTCTTTCTGTTTCTCGGGTATTCCGAAAGCCATGAATGGCTTTATTTTTGTAAAGATTAAAAAAAAAATAGATAAAAATGAAGATTTATCCAGTAGTGTATCATATCTAAGGAACTTTTAGATTCTTTCAAAGAAAAGTGTGTTTGCTAATTTTTTTCCTTTGCACGACACCTTGTAAAAGAGAGTCTTGTAATGATTTTTATAAACGGTAATAGAGTGCTTTTCGATTGAGTGACGAAACCCAAAGCTAAAGTAATCGCAACGCCTAAGAGTGACTAAAATCTAATTTCTCCTTACATCATCCTGGAATCAAACATTTAGGTCATGAGAATAAAGGAGATGATCATCAACTTAAGAAGCTCTTCATTTTTGCACAAATTCTCCTTGTCAGAACCCTAAGATATGTCTAGTGAGTGTTATGGAGAATATGCTTACTGATGTTAGAATGTAAAGGGTTAAGAGCCAACGTGAACTCAAAGTAAAACCGACGAAACTGCCTCAAGCGCCGGAAATCCCGAGCAACCAAGTCGTGATTGTTTTCAGTTTTGCATCTGATTGGTTGAGGGAGTGGCGCGTATTTTCTGCACCAATCAAAGCGATGTAAATCAAAACAAAAGCAGCAGTTACTCAATTGAAAAACGGTTCAGTACTTACAAGGTTTGAAGTCGGGTGTTATTGACAAAAACTCTGTTCTTCAGGGTCGTAATCCTTGTTTGGGACAAATATCTAGAAGGAAAGTAACTCAACGGTAAGAATCGTTTTTGAGGAGGGTGGGTTGGGGGTGAGTTGGAGATGGGGGGGGGATGGGTTTTTGGGGTGGGTTGGGGTGGGGAGTGGGTTGGGGGTGGGGGTGGGTTGGGGGTTGGGTTTGGGGGTGGGGAGTGGGTTGGGGGTGGGGTGGGTTGGGGTGGGGACTGGGTTGGGGGTGGGGGTGGGTTGGGGGTGGGGACTGGGTTGGGGACTGGGTGGGGAGTGGGTTGGGGGGTGGGGGGTGGGTGGATGGGGAGAGAAGTGGGGGGTTCCCGGGGAATCGTTAAAAAGATGAAATTATCAATTTGGCTTTCTAGTTATAATTTCCCTTATTAGACCCAGATCTTCCGTATTCACATCAAAATGGCGTTGTTTTATCGCAAGAGATATTGCCAACTAGGAGTCTTTTAAAAGCTCGTAGATCGTTGGCAGATCTGGTTCCTCGGTCGAAAGGCGTAGAGTTAAAAAAATACACAGTATGGTCAACTTACAGACTGACGAGATCATGATGCAGTCCCAGCGCTTTGGCATCAAGTTTCATGATTGGGTTTGAGGACAAATCTCTGTAAGAAAGTAGCAGCGACTTAGAACTTAAGAGATGGCACAGAGATGGCTTAAGATGCGTGGAAAATATTGACACAGAGAGCGTAAACTAATTCAAAACGGTCACCACATAGATAGATAACTTTGTTTATTCAGGGTAAAATCCTTCCGCATAATCTAAGAGTGAAAAATAGCTAATACTGCTTAGCTAAACTAACTAATGATTAATATTGTATTATTAGAATAAAAACCTATTATATCATTAAAGCTGCATTTTTAGGATGCCGTGTTTTAATCAAAAGATATAATAACGCACTTTACCATTGAACTCGCTTAAAGAAACTGTTGATCGGAGCTCATGGGAAAGCAACTCTGTAGGAAAAACTTCTCTTCAAATAGTTGGGGCGGGGTTGCGGAACAGCCAATTTATTCCCAGAATTCTTCAGTGGGTATGAAGTAACATCATTTCGGAATACAAATCGAGATCGTCGATATTTAGGGGTCAATCCATATAAAATTATATACATCATAACAGAGGTGGCTACTAACTAATAGCTACTAGCTGTTCGTACCACAAAACAGCTTCCCAAGGTATTAAAATAAAGTATATAAATTAAGTTTGCGCTTTTAGGGACCGAGTCGAAATTTATCGCAGAGGGGGTCGGGTAAAGTATTTTTGGGATCACATTGTTTTCAGGGGGGACCGATTGGGAGATCAGTAGTCGCCAACCAAATTTAAGAATGATTGTGGAAGAATGTCTGCCAATTAACTGCCAATGAGGTTGAAATCATCAAAACATCACAACCTTATGGGGAGATCAAGTAAACTTTATCGAGACAAACCAAAAATCTCCCCCCCCCCAGGCGATATGCAAAAAATCTTCCATGAGTTATAACCAAATTTCAAAGTTTGAAAAAGTGATTGGGCGCTTTTTGCTAAGGTACGGTCACACACCGTAGAATTCACTCACAAAAGAAAAAAAATTATAATACATACAGGGTAGTAATTTTTGAAGGCTTTTGAAACGCAGGTATTTCCTCGAGATTGTTATCTTGCAGGCGCCTGTGAAATCAAATCACAAGAGTTAGCGATGCATAAAGTTTGGTTCCACTTATGCGATTTAATGATCTTAATCGGGTTGCGCTGTTATGATCTAAACGGGCAACATAGGTATAAAAAGCTCCTCCGGTGTTATAACCATCTTAAAATGTCACAAGCTGCAAATTACCAGTACCAAGACTTTCATTGGTTAGAATTAAAATGAATGAACGATACTATCGATTATAATGTTTGCGTTTACAAAGCAAGATTTTATATTCCCAGTCATAGACATACCCTTCATCACATGCCTAGAAAGGTGCGAATGGCGCTTAGAATAACGATCTTCGTTCTTGTATCGCTTTTGTGAACTAGGCCCAAATAGTTGATCAAACGCACTCTTCAAGGAGCTCAAGAATCGGTGACGCAAAGAATTTTCAGAGAAACTGGGTAAATGTTCACCTTTTACCACGAGTTTAAGCTTGTTTGAAGGCCTTTCGTTAAAGCTGAAATGTTTTCATTTTTTGCTTCAAATGCATGCCGTTAAACTCTTAAATGAATCCCTTAAAGCGCTCGACGGTTGACTAAGGTGTGGGCAAATTTAAGGAAACCGGAGCTACAATTCAAAGCTTAATTTTTCTACGAAATCGCTGGAACAATAACAACAGTTGATCTGAGCAAGAACGGCAGCGTTAAAAAAAAGGAGTTTGAAAGCAAGGTGATACTTACAAATCGATCAAATCAAGCCCGTCGAAGGCACCAGGAGCGATGTACTTGAGGCCATTGTTTTGCATATATCTATTTCAAACAAGAAAAACAAACCTTTCTTGGTCAAATCTGCACGAGCATTAAAACGTTATGAGAATTTTTCAATAAATTTTGTACTCACAATTTCTTCAGCGTCTTGAGCTTGGAAAACGAGTTCTTTTCAATTCTCGTGATTGAATTGTGGTTCAAATGTCTGCAATTATCAATGGTTTAATATTTTCAGTGGTGAAATTACTATCATTATTCAACTCACTATCTCTTTTCTGATTGGCCGAAAGCGTATAGTGAATTTTCGAAATCCGCGCTTAGGACGTCATCTAGCCGCAGATTATACAATAATCATGTCAAGGACACTGAAGGTCCTTGATTTCTCAGGGTAATCACTTCAAGTTCACGCGTTTTGTGTTGCCTGCTGATTTATATATTTTTACACGTTTAGAAATAAATTATCAGTTCCACTTACTATCGTGACCAATTTTTTTTTCGCTCAGTGTATAATAAAACAGTTATTATATTCGGTTTTTTTGTGATATCCAGAATAATCAAGGTCTCTGTCAAGGTTCCAGCGTCAGGCATCGGCTTCGGTAGATAATCCCTGCCTCGACCTTGATTATTCTGGATATCACAAAAATCTCTTCCAATAATTGCTTAATATTAGGTTTGAGTATTATGGGTTTTTCAATATTCAGTCAGCTGAACGCTAATGATTGGTTTTGTTTCAATATTTTGGAGCTCCTAAGGCACCAGTGGCAAAGACTATGAGGCCATTGTTGTTCATAAATCTCTTTGAAACAAGAAAACAAACCTTGGCAATGCTTAAAACTTTATGAGTAGTTTCCCTTAAATTTGTACTCACAATTCCGTCAGCGTCTTGAGTCCGGAAAACGAGCTCTCTTCAATCCTCGTGATTGAATTACTGCTCAGATATCTGCAATTGTTGATGGATATTTTTTCAGTCGTGATACATTTTTTTTTTTAATATTCGGCCAGCTGGAATTTAATGATTGGATTTATCTTAATATTTTGGAGCTCGAAGACATGGAGATCGGACCGTGTATGTAGTTTTGCCCAAACTTCCCAAAATTAAATAATATTTTAATCGAGCGTTGAAACTGATCTGAGATAGCATTATTTTGCTTTTCTTTATTTCACTATGTGATTGGTCGAAACTTATGCCACCCACTCCCACTACCTCCCACAACCTCCCCTCCCATCCCTCCCGCGACCAATACAGAGTAAAACTGAAAGGTAATCAAGCGCAGTCACTCCAGTGTTCCCGCGCTTTACCGATAGCTACCTCTGTTCTGATTGGTTATTGCGATCTCTTTGGTTTTGTTTTTGCGTCATCTGTTTGAAAAGCGCTAACAAGCAAGGCACAGGAAAGTTACTTACAAATGTTTCATTGAATGAAGTCCTTTAAAAGCTCCAGCAGAAATATCTCTTAGTTTGTTGTATTCAAGATTCCTGAATGACAAAATAATTCCAAGTTTGCATAATAATCCATATTGGTATATACCACACAACTAAATAGTGCTTTTCACGCTTGGAGATTGGCTAGTTCGGAAGTGATAGGAGCATTCACTTCCCAGAAGGCGGCGAGACAAACTCGCTTGTCAAGAGTTTAATTGCTAGCCATTTTTCGGTATATTGACAGAAATAAACAGATTCATGGTTTCTGTGTGGGAAAGACTAAAACAAATATTTTCCTCAGTGTCAGTGAAAATTATGGATATGGGAGTTTCAGTCACAAAACGAAAGACAAAGTTATTATTTACAAAAAATAAAATGAAAAACAGATAAACAACTTACAAGTCTTCTAAAGCGGCATTACCGGAAAATGCTCCTGGAGGAATGTCAGAGATGAGGTTTCCGTCGAGAACTCTGCAATGAGAAATTTAAGAGTTTTCAAGCTGTATTCGTACCTTTTTATATCAACCTTACAATTTGGAAAGATTTGACCTCCCATAAGCATACTGGTTTTCGAACAATGCCGATTCATATGTATTTACATGAAAATAAATCATTGCGAGATGAAATCTATGACGAGAAATCAAATTTTGGACTTAGACAAAATATTCCTCAAAATTCGAAAGGATGTTTAATACAGGTCTCCTTAATTTACTTTGCATTACTTGATATATTGTTCAAGAGGAAAATGAAAAACTCCTGATTATAATACCACATACGATAAAGGAATTAAGAGATAAGAGAACTGAAAAAATCTTTTGACAACGGTTAACAAAGTCTCGCCATTGACAAAAGACAATTGTAGTAAATACGTAAATACACTTACAGTTCTTTGAGATTCTCAAAACAAGCAAACGTGGTTGCATTTAAGTGTTCGATTTTGTTATTGGAAAGACGCCTGTGAAATAAAAGTAAAACGAGGGTAACCACTGATACATGGTCTATAGGAGATGATAATCTTAGAGAGCGAATCTGTCCTCCCTCTAATGCGTCCATCAATTCGAAGCTTCAGCATTCCCCCCACGGGCAAACTCCCGGGCATATTAACTTTTGAAGTTTGGTTTGTTCAAATTCCCGCCCCTCCAGGTAGAAAGTTGTGTTCAAATGCCCTGCCCAAGTGCCAGATTTGAAGATCAATTTTTTTTTTGGAAAGGCAAAATCAGCGACTGTAACTTTCTCCACATTGACCAAGCTGTAACACCTAAACGTTGTAGACCTTTTCTTTTGAGCCATTCGCTCGCGAAAGTGAACTCTTTACCTGTAAACACCTCCAAAAGTAAAGACATAGCACTTGTACTCCGCTAGAAAAACGTTACACTTTCCTAAAATAAATTCTTAGCCAGGCAAGGTTCAAATTTCCCGTCCCCCTTACATTGATCGGTGCATAAACTAGAGGCTGAATAAACTCTTCAACTAATAATCGAATTGTTTACAATCAGTATGTATGAATAAAATTTACTCACACGCTAGTTACATGGTCTGTTGCGTTGTTACATAGCGTCGATACAACACTAGTGCAGCCTTGGTTAATTATTTCGCTGAAAATATATTGAAAGGTGCAAAAACATTAACCATAAAAAAAAACCCAAAAACATATAACAATTGTATGAGTATAAAGAAAGCAGTTTAAGAGAAATATCAACGATGGGTCCTGGCGTTACCGTCGGTGTTATATCGTTTCCAATGCCATTATAAATCTCTATTAGATTAGTAAATCTCTATTAGAATAGATCGTAGTTTGACTTCAAAGCAAGTACATTCAGCAGGAAAAGAGCTCTGAGAAAATTTAGCTGTCAACGGCCCCCGCTTCCTAACCTCCCCAACCAGGTTGCAATTGGGCGCTACAAATAACTGCGTTCGAACCTTCAAAGCCACAGGTGAAAAGCAATGCTAGATGTCGGTTTTTTTTTCCTTTGGTTCATCTAAAGCGTGGGTTTAAGAAGCTTCAAGCATTCCCAGTCTTGTAAAAAATAAAGACACTCAATAATAAACGTTTTGTTGTTAAAATTTGCAATTTGCACAATATTTATTATCTTATGGTCACATTTCCGTGTTTGAAATTCAAGTTTATTTTCCGCATGTTCAATCTGATTTATATTTTGCTGTTCAAGTAAGCTGGTGTCGACGTCGGCGCTTTGAAGTTTAAAGTGTATAAGAAAATTTAGATCCTGTAAGGATTAAGTTCATCAGTCCTTGCACGTAATGGAAGTATGACGTTACATTTCTTTTTGAGCCAAAATTTTTGTTAAATTTTTTCGTCTTTCTAGTCCCTGATTTATACTTTCGTATTAAAGTACGTTGTTTTCAAGGTCAGTGTTTCTTATCCTAAAACTCCCACGACCACGACAGTATTTCTCTTTACAATATCGATACGTCATCAAGCAGAAACGTTATGGAAATAAGGAAACAATATCAATTGCAGAATTATTAGTCGATCAGAGACCAAATTCTCAGAAATAACATCGTAAGAATTGCATGGCAGACAGTAAGGAGAATTGCTAATGAGATCTTGGGAATGAAAGGCTTAAGAAGAAAGAGAATAAAAAAATAGACTCCAGGAAACAATAAGCTTATGTTAGGAAAATCCTAACCCTAAATCTCGCTGTCGTTAGATGTGTGAAAAGTGCTAAAAAGGGCGAAATTTATTTTTGATTTAATTGATTCCCTTATTATCAAAGCCCTATAAGTCCCTCATCTGATAAACTTCCTTAATTAAAAATAAAAAGAGAAGAAAAGAATGAAAAGTAGTGCAGATTGATATCAACGATGGAGAAAGGTACTCGAGAAATTCAAACATGTAACCAACCCACATATTAGCTTTGCCATGTTTTTTTTTTTTTTTTCACATCGTTTATGTGTCCTAACAAATAGGCTTCCCTTTGGAATTCCCTGTATATTTGGATGTAAAATCAGCACGAAACCTTCGAAACGCTTCCTTCCGTGTTCAATATTACTCCACGCACACAGTATTTTTAAATCAAAGAGTTCCTGCCTTGCGAATGGCGCTTATGGCGAATTTTACCTTTCAATAAATGACACTGTTTGAACTTTGACTGTGTTCCTATTACCTAACTCACAACACATACACCTTAGATAATAACCCGTTCGCTGCCCGGTGACAGGAACGAATTTGAAATATTCACGCTTGAGAAATGCATGCCTGTCAACATTTAGTCCGTTAGTTGTAAGCAGATGTAAACATTTTTCACTTACACAGCTGTTGAATTCCCTTTAGGCCAAATGTCGCACTCTTTTTCTTCATTGGCTACGGAGACGCCGAGCAAACACAGCAGCAATATGAAAAACAGTGGCATTTTCTTCTTTGTTATAATCTTGAATCCCTGTTGAAGACGAAACTCCTAAAAGTAAATACAATTTTTCAGAAATTGTTAAGCCGGCGTTTCACGTAAACGAATTTAAAATGTATGAAATACTTGAGTTTAATGCTCACCTATACGTAGCTCTCACTTAAAGCGATATTAAGATCTAGGAAAATCTCATTTTCTTTGAGAAACAACTTTGTAAATGTAAATGAAACCGGCGTGATCTGAAGCGGTGTGAACTAGACTGACATAATCCCAGCTAGCATCATTTGAACGTTGAAAGGTGTCATTGAAATGTATTCACAGTTGATTGACTTAACTACATGCAGGTCCAGAGCGACTCTTTTTAACACAAAAGAAAACTCATTAGCACGTCAAAAACTGGATTAAAGAACAAAAAAATATAAGAAAATAAATGAACCCCTTTACCATGGATTATTTCCGAACGAGAGTTCCTAATCAAGATAACTATCAGACGATAAGAGTGTACGAACGTTCGTGTATTACGGGGAATGTTTCCTCTATGCGTTGGAGTCAGTATTCCGTGGTTTCTTTGTTCTATATATTAACATGCAAATTTGGTGCGTGAATTTAAACAACAGGTATACGATTATTAGGTGTCAAATTGTACGATATATTTTTTTCATTTCGTCTCCCACAATCTAGTCTTTATGGGTGCTCAGTGAAATCTTCAGGAATTAGCTGAATAAAGTACTTCTGCTCTCATCCAATTAGGAAAACGAAAATCTAACTCAAAAGCTGCATGAAAAATCCAAATTTTCCTCTCATTCATCAAAACATCTTCTGTAGGATCAACAAGGAAATACTGGTAATCCTTTGTACACCGAGTATTGATTAACATTTAATTTCTCTTTGCCATCTTAACCCTTTATTATCCGACTAAGGCGGTTCGTGCCGACATCTAAAACCAACCAATCAAATCGCTGTACTACCTGTCCCGCGAGGGCCTGTATTTTGTTACTTTCAGACCTGGTACTCTGTCGAATTTATCCCGCGCGATTTTGATGAAGGATATGATCTCTATAAAATCAAGATGGCGGTCCTATTGGAAGCTCTTCCTTAGAGTAGATGGATATGCTACCAGATCACTTCGAAAGAGAAAAATCTCGACCTGAAGGATCACTGAATTGAATCAGAAAATAGTTCTTAAAAAAACCCTTCCGGTTGGCGATTTTCGGAACAGATATTTTAATAGCCGATAGACCTTTCTATTCTTCGCTCTGATGAAGGGCTAACGCACAAAAAAGGACAGTTTCAGAAACTCTTTGCGGTGGCCAGTTTTCATTTACCAACTCAGTCGATAAATTAGAAAGTAGAATCTGTTGACTTCCGAGCGAAGTTTGAAGTAATTCGGAGAGTACTTCAAACTGGTAAATATCATTCTTTCATTCAAGATACGATTTTTAACTCAGACTAACGATAAGATTTTACGATGATTCAAATAACTTTCGTAATTTTGTACGGAAATCTGCAAGTTCTAATCTTTCTGTTAAATGAGTTGAATCAGGCCTAAGGCGGGTTCTTGATTGAACGGTTTTTTTTACACGCAAAAAGCTCGTTAATGTTTCGCTTCCGTCTGCATCTTGTTTGAATAAAGTTGTAGTCTCAAAATAACTTAAAGAAGCTTTCTTGGCCTTTTTCTGAAGGTTTTGAGCGGGAAGTAAGTGCTGAGTAAATTTCCCAATTTCTTTAAGATCATTGTGTGAAAGGTGCAAAACATTGCCTATATATATATATATATTCAATCTTGATGTCTGAGAAAATTCTTGATAAGAAAATCATTGTTTTCTGAAAGAGTACTTTGTGATATGATTCTCATCGAATCCTAATTGTTCGAGGAAGCCACAGATCTCAGTTCATTTTACTATTTCAAACTGAGATCTCATTTAAGGTTCAGAGAACCTTTGTCAGCCCAAGAAAATAATTACCTTTGACACTTTCGTAAAGCATTACTTAGCACGCGTTGCTTGCCTGTCAAGCCTCACTCTGATAACTATTTAAACGCTGTTATTGCTCGGAAAGAGAAACATTAATTACTTGCATGTCTTTGACATATGACTGAATATACGAGTAGCATGGGTAAATAAAAAAACTCAGCATCAGTGAAATTGTGTTCACTAGAAACAGTAATGTTTTCGCATGTACAAAATTGCAATATCAAATATGTGTCATTTGGACAGGTAAACAGAGTTGTGCTTAAAGATTACAAAGTCTCTCTCTTTACAATGCAGATTAAATTCAGGATTCTTGATCAAACTTGACTGAAACGTGTCCGCTAAGAAAAGATTAGGAGCTACTCTGACTCAACTTGTGGTAAATTGCACCGTTCGAACTTGAGTAAACCTTCTCTTTGGACATGAAACGGCAATCCTAAAAAACAGAGTGGGCGATGCGTGATAGAAATTAAATAAAGAGCGAACTTTACAGACTGTTACTATTTAAATTCGATATGACTCTATCTCGAATTATGTATAAATTACAAATAGGCCGGCCTGAAATAAAAAAAAATTAAATTTTTTTTGCGCAAGAAAACAAGCCCTTAGAATGGAGGGCGAATGCATAGAGAAGAGTTTTTTTGTAAATGCAGGATATAATACCTATCACATATTAAATTCGTAACAATCCTGTTTTGAAATGCATTATGTTCAAATTACAGGTGACCTTGCAGAGAAAAATATGACTAGACAGAGTGGAGCCGACATTTATAATCGAACATTCGTGAACAGCAGTAAGGTAAATTTGTAATTGTTCGGCTTTGCAACACGTTATGTTACATTTACAATTAACAAAAATTGAAATTGCTTTGAACAAAGACAAAAACTCATGGTTTGCGTGAACGGAGCCGACATTTGCACACAAACGTTCTTGAAAAGCATGATTTAGAATCTACTAAAATGTACATTCATTGTTGATGTTTTTTGTAACGGATTATTTCAAATCAAAGATGCTTCGTATAAAAACAAAGCAATGAAACTGTTTTAAGCACCAAAAAAAAAAATCCTAGCGGTAAAATGATATACAGCAATTTTCACTTTTCACTTCTTTCCTGAGGTGTGCTTTGTTACATGTTAGTACAGCCACCTTTTTGGGTTCAAAATTAAAAGTTGAGAAGATGATGAAATAGGCATAATTGTGAGGGAGATCTTGGACAACCACTGTTATATGGAACATAAGTCAGAGATACTGCAATAATATGCAATTTTTACCCTTCTTTTGACAGGGAAATACCACGAAATTTATTGCGCAAAGAATTGAATGGCTTTTGCGTTTGTTAAATCATGCAAAATTGCGCATCGTTTGATTACAAATAATTCCTTGTGTAATATTTATGCAGGGATAAGAAAGAAAATGTGAAACGACTACCTGGTATGGAATAGCGCCTTAGCCAACAGAAGGATGGACTGAACTCAACACAGCTTTGAACCTAAAACCGTCGAACTGAGTAGTTTGGTAAAAACGATTGCATTTTCGTTCTCGAATTTGATTGGTGGGACAGTTTGCGTAGATTCTAACGCATTTGTCGGCTCGTAAATTGTAAATCAAATTAACTGCAGCTGGATAAACGAGTTTTGTTCGAGTGAAATAACCATGTTCCTTAGAAAAATATTATGAATTGCCTAAACGTGACAAGCGCTTGGCAAACTTCATTTTACAGCTAATCGAGACGTGACTAATTTAGGTATTCCTCAAGAGGTCCTAAATGAAACGACCGGAATTGAAATGTTCAAATTGTACTCCAAGGTGAAGTTTTTTTGCACAGAATTTTAACCGTTATGTGAGACAAGACAAAACAATGACATCCTTTTGCTTTGGATCGTTAAAGCGGACTCATTTTACTAATGATCTTTGAAAACAAACCCTTGAAACCATTTTCATGTGTAACACCTTTCAGTCATAATATCCCGCCTTCGAATTTTGTTTTCCGGTTTTCAGACGTCTTAGGAAAATAATGCAAATAGACTTGGCCAAGAATTTTACGAAAAACGAAAACACGGAAATTGTGAATGCAAAGTTTGTCTTCCGCAACATTGGATTACTGACGTTTGACTTCAAGGCTGGCAGACTTCTTTAAATTCTGTTTACCTTTGGGCAGGTTTGGTAGAAGAAAATTTGAGAAATAAGAAATTTGAATCTGATTCGTGACACCACAATTGTCAGGTCAATTAATTAAGCCATTTTCACAAAATAGTTTCGAATTAAAATTGTAGGCAAGCTTTTACAAATATTCTTATTACTTTTAGAGTGCAATTTAGCTGATTGACATTCAACCAAGGCTAAAGGAAGTACAACAGCCAATCGAAAAAGAGAGTAAATATCTGAAGACGTAAATATCCGAGAAAATACATGAACTGTAGCGGGCGCTGAGAGCAGGTGACCAAACTTTGCACCTGATTGGTTGAGAGGATGACGCAAATTTTCTGGACCAATCACACAGCGTAGAGAAACAAGACTCAGGGAGTTACTTCCGGCGACTCCGTCCAGCATAATTCAGAAGAACTTTACGCTTCAGATAATTCCATATCACTATATTCTGAGAGTTTAACTATTTTACTTTGCATGATGAAAGCTCCGTTTGTTGGAAGCCAGAAACTACACGAATTCTTGATTGCGTAGAGTTTTTAAAGCTGACGTTTCAGGCGTTTATCCTCCGTCATTCGCTGTGACAAAAGGCTAACATTCAAAACATCAGTTTAAAAATCTCCTTACGGAGGCTATTTCACACTATCAACTCAGTTTATAAAACTGAACCAAATTTTGTTTTAACAATCCCACCGACGCAGCGTCACAGTTTGTTTTAAGAAGCTTACCCTTACCTAGGGTTCGCAATACATTAAGTAACTTTTTTGTTTTTTAAAGGCATTATATAATGTTACTTGGGGTTTTGTTTCCAAGTAGTGAGTTTCCAAACAAGTGTAATTACCAAAAAGGCTGCTTTCTCGAATAAACCACAATCAAGAAAACAAAAGTAATCCACCGTCATTAAATAAGTTACATTTAAATATCTATGTTAATTTACAACATAGTCAACAGAATTGCGCTTTATCAAGGAACAGACTCCCTAATAACGCTTCTGCGCATGTGAAGTTTTATTGAGACAATTTCAATGTTTTTATTTTGATTTTTAAGAAAACCCTGGTCCTTGAGATGCCTTAGGTTGTTATCTCGACAAAACCGCTGGCCGGCAGGCCTAAAGGTTGAATTTTTCCACCCATCAGCATGGTCCTTCATGGCAGTAGAATTAGTGTCCCATAAAAGGAAGGTGTTCACCGTAATAAAGAAACAAAACGGAATCAATTAAATCAACCATGCATTGATCATTAGCACCTTTCCTTTAACAACAATAGCTAAAATGGTTTAAAAAGTATTTCCGAGAAGATGTGTTTTTCGCGTCACTTCAAGAGACAGGTGTATTTTTGAGTGTTCAAAATTCTTCTTAATTAGCTTTGGTATTATAATTTTCGTCATCTCCCTTCTTTGTGCAGGCGGCTTAAGGCATAAGATTACGATATTAATGTGGTAAAATAAAATCATTTTAACCAACATTTTCCGAGGCTTGCTTCGATGTCATTGTACGAAAGGAAACGCTGTACTTCTGGTTGAAGCGATATCGACCCTTCACATCCTGCTAACAGTATGCATATTACCCATACTGATCATTACACATTTCCTTTGGTACTGACAAGGAAAATCGTTATCAAAGAACTCCTTAGGCGATATCACTCCCTTTTTTCCCCTTGACCTTACTATTTGATTCAACACTGATACTGCAACGAGAAAAGAGTGAAAAAAAAAATCGCAGTTTAAACGTTGTACGTTGTAAAGCATCCATACGCAATTTCGTAAGCTCGCCATTTTCAATTTATTTTAATCTTTTCCACTTATGGCACTCAACGTTCTTTTTCTTTCTCAGTTTAAATATTTTGTGGTTTTCTTTAAGTCAGAGGACGGTTTTCCATTCGCTCTGACGAGGGCTAACGAAGGGCTAACTAATATCAACTCTGTTGGTTATACTAAATTACCCTAAATTACGCTAACTGTGAATAATGTTTTTCAAAAGCGGTTTGCATCGTAAATGGGCGGAAAATAGCGTTGAAACCATTTGTTGAGATTATTGATTATAAGTCACGAAATCTATGAGCAACTTATGCGCGTTATTGTTTTCATGCTCGTACCAAAATGACACCCTGATGCTACCTTTTTAGTTTTAGATACACTTTCCATGTAAACACTCTTCAATGACTTGTAAACTGCCCCAGCATTGGATCTAAAATGTCATAGACCAAGTGAAAACTGATATCTTATTTTCGTGACATTTTGTATCGCCATCCTGTAAGGAAGGCCAATTTTGGGACGTCTGTGGTTGTTTATTTACAATCGAAACACTCGATAACGATTTCAAAATGTTTACATCATTCCTAAGTGAATTGCATTAACCAAATGGAAACGGTATATTTCTTGAGGCATTGATAATAATAATATCTTGAAGCATTAATTATCATAAGCAAAATCCTTGTCTGAATTACTTGGGGTCTTTCTTATTCAGTCTGCCACACACCACCTGTCACGAGAACAAAGCTTTTAAAACATTAGCCCATATTGTTGATGCGATCGCCCTTTCTGGAAAACGTGTCAAGATTGCTTTCAATTTTAACGCAAAGTGGCATCTTCTCGAGATATGTTGGGCTGAAATTGATATCAGAAATTCCTTTAATTTTATTACCTCTTACGAGAGACAGATTTTCCTTTAGTGGTAGATTAGCGAGGAAAATACATTTTAAGCGAGCATAAGTGCTCAACAGATCTATGGCGCCACTGGACATTTAAATACCTTTTATGTTCCCTTGTATGTGAACGTGTAATCCCGATTGATCGTTGCTACCCCAAATCATCCGCGCAACGTTTATCTCGTTTTTTCAACTTGTGTTTTCAATCTTGATATACTTACCTTATCCCAAACTCTCCTTTAATTGAAAATTTATTTTTAGGAACGTGTTACATATTCAAACTTCAAAATAAACATTAGGTTTTCTAGGCTTTGTTACTCTCAATAGTACAGCTATAATTGTCATCTTCCATTAATACTAAAGAAACTCAATATTACGTCTACAGATCTGAAGACTTCCTTCACTGAACTAGAGGCTTACAACTGAAGAAACTCCATGATTTAACTGTACAGCGTCTTAATCTTTCCCTCAGATGTAATGATAACCTTACTTCAGTTTCTTTACAAAATATTCTTAACACTCAAAACTTGAACGTAATCGAACTTTAGGGCTAAGTACGATGTTTCACAAGCGAAATGCCCAGAGTCTTAAGGAAATTTGTAAGAACTTTTTTCAATATTTGCACAAATACAAATACGGTCTAAAAAAAATATCTACGAAATGTTAACAGATTACTAACCTTTACCTGGATAAATGTGGTCAAATTGTGCCTCAGTTTTTATCTGTTGAGCAGCCGGCGAACTATTTCTGTTTAGTGGTTCTCGAGAGACTGAGACTGAGAAATTATGGCATAACTTATTATATGGTTATGTTAATTCTGCAATTTAAAAGCCGCATTTAATATTAAGTTTTCCGTGCTTTTAAAGCTAAACCAAAAAAGCTATTTTTGAAGATTTTGCGATTTTTTTTTATTCCTTTGGACAAATATCATTTGCTTTGATCAAAGCAGTCGAATTATCACAGAAAGTGGCACGTCTCTACAATAGCGGTTCCCTTTGGCTAAAAAACCAGCTGCCTCCTCAAATTCAGGATGATTAGCGAAATACGGGCGCCAAACAACTCTTAAGTAGTAAAATAGAATCTTCTTTCGCATTTGGTAGATCTTAGAAGTAAAAAATGAGCAGAGTTTACCATTTAAGAGTGCAGTTTTTCCGCTTCTTTTGCGCCAGAATCTTTTATTAATAGCAAGATCAATGGACAATGGTTCTGAAAATCGTAGAAAGACCTTTTGAATTTAGAGCAGCTTTTATTGCGATTACTAATTTATACAAAACTTTCTGAATAGCCTGATTCAGATGTTGTAAAGATATTTTTCGAAGGGTGGGTTAGTAATTACTCTATATTCTTGTCTAATTCTTCTCCTATTCACTAAAAGACTGGTCGTTCAATGAAGACTATCTTGAACAAATTGAAGTCAGCTTTGTAAATTTACCATTCATTAACAAGCTGGTAATTGTTTGCTCGTGATGTTACCAATTACGCATGCGTAAAATCCTGTGTGGGTGTAAAGAGCATATGTTTACATCTAAAACGATCGAGAAAGAACTACAGAATGGCACCATCATATAGAACCCAATTGATCGAATTGAAAATATAACAAACAGTAACGAAACATAGGAGAGTAGGAAAAAAAGCTTACATAAGTTTTCTACTTAGAAATGACTTTGAAGCAGATGTAACTGGTTTTGCATGCCAATCGCACCTTGCATAGAAAAATATCAACTGGCTTAACGCAAATTAAAATACGCAAAAGGTAATGGAAAAAAAACAGCATTTCTACAACGGAGTCACGCAGTGCCATTTAAGTTCTGCCGCTATGGCGCCATTTTAAAATTATCTATAAGGCTTGGTTACAAAGGCTTTTAGTGGGTTTTTAATGCGGCCAGTGCAGCTAGGTGGTAAACTCAATCAGTTATAATTTTTCCCTTTTTTTTTGCTGGGTGCAAGTCCAATATAAGTTTGAGGTTTCTTTAACTTTCTTTTTTTAGTAGCACCTTAATGTAGTCTGTATTAATTTGAAATCGAAGTGTCTTGTTTCTGAGACCATTACTTTTTAAATTTCGACTCTATATTTCTTAAGGAAGAAAATTTTCCATACGAGACGTTGAGTAACAGAAATGTCATCGGTATTGATTCGATAAAGCTTCGTTTCAGGCCTGACCAAACAGAAAACGGTAAACAATCCAGTTTCGCATAAATTTACTCAAATTTGCAACCGAGTTTTAAGCTCATAAAAACCATGTAAATGAGTCCACTCGCGGTTTAAAGGTTTTGCTTTATCCCAACCTATCTATTTTAAAAAAGTGGTATTTCCATCAACATCTACATAATATATTTATGTCCGCAATAAATTGTCGTGTACTTGTATGTCTTATTCAAGGTCGTCAAATCGCATTAAGTACCTTATGCGTATTGCGTATCCCGCATAACATTTCATGTTGTATCAAATCACGCGGAAAAGATCACGTTATTCCTTAATTTGCGATAGACTTCTGGTAACATATCGCATTGTAATGCATATAAACGAAAATCTCTAACATAAAAAATGTGGTTTGCATGTTTCGATACAACTGATTACCCTCTAACTCGAAACATTTGAAACATAGATGCTTCGAATCAGGATGATACCCTCGAAATTTCATCAAAATTTTGTAAGATTTTGCTGACGCAAGGAAAAAACGCAATTCGGCGTATAAAATCACGATTGAAAACAATCGAAACAATCCCTGATTCGAGAAAAGTTTTCTCCACAAACATCGACGTGTTCAGAAGATGTACGTAAAGCTAATCAAGAAACCTAACCATAACGCCAATCTCATGTCAGTTTTTTTTATTTCAAACTTAAAAATAAAATAACTGACATCAATTAGTAATGTTGCAGACTGGAAAGTAAATTAGTCTCCGTCGAGAATCTGGCTTGTCAACTCATGATGTTTTTCTGTCTGATCGAATTAATCGTAAACAGTCACAAAAATAAACAGCGAAGGCTTGGCTGCTTTTGAGTGAAAACTTTATTATTCTGTCATAATGCCATTTACTTTAACAAAAAATTTACCAACCAATTTTTCATCACCAATTTAGAATAACATTAGGTTTGAACATGACTTGTTGAAAAACAACACACAATTTTTTCAAAGCCAGAACGAAGAAAAACGCGGTAGCAAAGTGAATGAACGCCACATATGACAAAATGTGTCTTTTTTCTTTCCAAAGAAAAGTAACCAGTTGTCTTGTCTTTTTTTCTGCCGAAAGGAGAAGAAATTATCAAACTTCGTTTTGATAGAAAGCAAACCTAACTTACCTCTCTTTGTTGGTAGCTTAGCTCCTAGAAACGAACCATTTCGAATAAATCCTTAAGTGAAAAGATATTAGAAACCACGCACCGCGTTAAAACTGCGTGCAATCTGGTTTTCGTTGCGATAACTCCGCTTTTCACGGGGAAATGTCTTTAAATTAACGCCGTTTATAAGGAAGCTTTGTACTTTGAATGGCTGTCTGCTCGAAGCACTAATAATAAGCTGAATAAATAGCGCAATACTATGTCATATCTTTCCTAACAGCGCATAACGACCGCAAGATACAGGTGTTTTTGGGGCTCTGACACACTCAATTATCTACTGATCCCAGATTTAGCCACGAAATACCCTTCTTTCTAAAAAAAAATAACCCTCCATTCGTTCTAAATCGTTAGAAAAAGCAATTTTGGCTGGAAATGGTTTTTAGATTTTTTTTTGGAGGCTAAATCCAGAATTAGCATATTATAAAATTGATTACGGGTGAATCTGATTTCAGAAATTGCCAATGTTTCACAAGAGACGCTCACACAGCTTTTTTACCAATATGTTTAATTGGAAAAAATGAAAGCTAAAGAAGCAATGTAGATATTAAGTTTTCGGCAACGATTCCTCTTAAAACTGAAAAATATATTTTAGCAGAATTTCGCAAAACTTTCATTATCGACAAATCTTTCGAGGCGTTATGTTTGTGTCAGTTCTAATTAGTCTCACTTCTGTAATTCAGGAAGCATTTACGCCTCTCGAGCGGGCAAGATGATTGTTCTATTCATTTGTTTAACTGATCTCCCTTGTTCAGTGACGCGGAGATCGAAAACGGCTTGTTTCAAAAACATTTCGAATCCATTCAAATGATTACCGTTGAAAACTGGACGCACTGCAAATGTTTACCTACAAGTCAAATTTCCTCGCTAATTACCAAGCTAGATAAAAATTATGATATGGCTTTCATGTAGATACCATGGCATTATTAAAGCGTGTTTTTATTGGCTTAGCTTTTTATTTTCCCGTTGTGAGGGCTGTGACAGCGCTTCCATATAATTTGGATGTGAAGAGAAAATTACAAATTTGACCTCGTCTCCTGCTGCCAATACAAGCAAATATCTTGTAAACACAGCATCTGTTAACTTTCGGCTGGTTTTGAAAATTTCATTGGTTGCTGAGCGAGCCGAGATGAAAATTAATTTTCCAATTCTATTAGGTTTTGACATGTGCTTGGTTAATTGATTACTATGCAGAGCCAAAATGGGAAGTAAGTGTTACTTGTTTTCATGATAAGCCTATCTAATAAGCCTAATCTCATTTGTACGAATAAAAAATTGAAAGGTGTTATTTTCTTTTCATTTCTTTTTGGGTAGGTCTTGCTTGATTAAACACGCTGGCAGATGGATAATACTGAACGAGAAGCAGATAAAGGTTAAAATCCTATTGTACAAGAAAATATATGAATCTGGGCTATTGAAGCTGAATATTTAAAATTCTGAATGAGGTTTACGACCATTTTCTACTTCAATTTTGAATTCTTAATTTTATAATCTTATTCTTCCAAGAGGAGAACGATTGGGAAAACTCAGTCCAATGAATTTGTTGATTCATTGCTACCAAAATCAATGTTACCAAAGTTGTGAAATATGAAATTTGCTCTTTTTTGAATCATCATGCGCCTTTCGTCTTACCTCTAGGAAATAAGAAAGCGTTGATTTTCAATTTCGAGCTTTACTCCCAACTGCAGTTAGTACATCTTCGTTGACGAAATCGTTACCAGCAAATTCTGAAACAGATGACTTCAACGATCAGGACGATTATCGAACGCTAAAAAGCCAAAAGCTGCGAGACGAAATACGCGGTGAGTTGTCTTGTTATGCAA